TCTGGATGGGGTTGGCTACAGCGTGAGGCAAACCCAGAAGCTGAGTCTTCCTTCTCACTGCAGCAGGCCCTAACCAAAGCGTTTTACAGAACTTCAGATACCTGCGCTTCTCCTTGCCATTTTCCTTCAACTGATTCGTGTCAACACGGAGTTTCTTAAAGATGTCCTCATGCACACCTATTCCGTCCCATCGTATACAGAGTACTGGTCCTTTTCCTGTCAACTGGCGCCCTCTAGTGGGTGGATTCTAGCATGACAGCTATCCTGAAATTTTGGACGCTCCGCTGATCGGTGCAACGTTACGCACCGTGTAAAGAGAAATAGAAAAAAAGACTGAAGTTTTGAGTCACTTAGAAAACAGGTATAAAGTCTTAGAAATGTAATAACTTCAGCTTTGATATATTGCAGCAGTGTAATTTATTTTCTATCACCCGCTTGTGGTGGCCCAGAAGTGCAAAACACATACAAATGAGTACGCAAACAAAAATCTGTTCAAAACGGTACTGTCAACGGAGGTGATACCTGTTGTTAGGTGAGATGGTGGCGCTGAGTGGAATGCACGTGTTAAGTTCTTGATGAGAACTATTCATTTTTTTAAAATGTTAAAAAAAAGACTACGACCGTAGGATGTTCTGTCCTATTTGCGAAGCACAGTTTGGTGGAAACCATTCATTTTACCCACATTGCGGCACTTCATGGAGCGGTTTCAGATCGTTGAGCAAGTGTGGTACTGTCTGCAGCGTTATCGATCGACATACCGTACACTAAGCAGTGTGGAAGAAGTGTTTCACAACCTTTCTTATTTATGCAAGGTGAAGGGAAAATCTTTGCACTTTCCCAGTTCGTGCATTTCAGAGCACAAAGAGACGGAAAATATTTTTCCACCATGTTTGCAATGCATACAGTGTATTTTTGCCGTGTGTATTATATAGCGCAGGTATTTAGAACCATGACGTGTTAATTTTTGTTGCTGAATTTCAATTTCTTGCGTCCCAGTGAGCGACTCGAAATAAAGTAAAAAAATAAATGAAGTAATGGTTTGTGTGTGTCTATAGTATTGTGAAACCGTTTGCATCATGTAGTATTTTTAATCGGGTGTTTTTATGCTTTTAATTTATGCGTATTTTATGCTTGTATTTTAGATGTAGATTAATGTCGCCATAATGAGAAACAGACGGGGCGTTTTAAACGGGAAGACTTCCCCGGTGGTTCTAAAACAATGTGCTGAGAACCTTCCACCGCATTACCCAACGTTATATACCGAACTATCTTTTACATCCCCATGGAATGATTGTTGATAAAATCCCTGGAACTGATAAAGACTACACTCTATAAGCTTTTAAAGACGCAATAATAAAAAGGTGTGGCCGACGACAGATAAAGGTTCTTTATCTGCTCTGAGGAATATTGCAATTCAGTTTGTAAGTACTTTTTGGCCTTTCTGTTTTTCAGGAACAAATGTTGATTTCCATTCTAAGTAGGTCAACAGTTCTGATAAACCCTTATCTTTTTCTTAGCTTACAAATAAAACAGTAGTATGACAATTTAAATACTGCAAAAGCTTTGGTTAAATTCAAAGAATTCTTAATTTGTACTGTTTGTACAATTAAGGATTAAAATGTGATATTTAATAACACACACTTTATGTTCTAAAACAAAAAGACACTTGTAAACATTTGTAGCCTTTTTTTTGGTCCACTTTCAAGGCAGTGAAGACAGTGACCACAAGGTTGTCCATTCAAGGAGTTATACAGAAGGTAACTTGGAGGACACTTTGATATTTACTATTGAATTACTTTCCTGAAGTATTCATATGAAAAATTAAAACAAATCAGACCACTATTATAATTAGTTCTAATTAATATGCACAAAACATTAAATGAAACCTCCAACCAATATATGGCATCTAATTCTTTATGTATTCCTGAACATGGTTTTTGAAAAGCAGCAAAAACTATGTCATATTTACAATCTTTCCTTCCTGTTAGCTATTCTGAACAGTTGGGCCCTATGGATGAAATTCTTTCAAACCAGGCTCACAACCACAGGGTAACAAAGTGTCAAGGTTCAAAATTAACCTTGGAGACATCTGGGAAATAAACCTGGGACATCTACATGGTTATTTTAGGGATGCTCCAGTGACCCAGCTCACACTATGATGGCAAAATCTACGGATGAATCTGGAAATACAGAAGATGGAATAGACACCGGAGGGTCAAAGAGGGATTTTTCTGCAGCTCCACTTAAGAAGACAGATTTGTTACCTGAGGTGTGATATTTGAGGTAAGTAAATTAAGTGTGAAAATTGATATTACAAACATTTTCAATTTATCAATAAAAGTTTGACATAATATTAAATGGGATCTCATTTACTATAGGTATGTTTAAACAGACATTTATTTTGTGAATATTATGTCTTACAATATTCTAAAACATACAAATATTGTCCTTGTACACTAGGTAATGTAGTGCCAGTTATTGTTGTTGTAATAGCTCAAAATAAAGTGCTTAGGCCCAGTGATTATTCGTAGAAGTGGTTCTCAAATATTACAGGTATGTCAAATTAATATCAGCTATAACGTTTTCAGCTACTGCCAAAACTTCACTGGCAGAATGATAGCCGTCTTCCTTGTGCACAGTGGTCCTTGCCTACAGCTCCTAAGAACCTCCTCCACTACATCATGGGACAAGATGTTTAACCAATAATAGAGGATGTCTCGGACCACGATATTTGGAAGATGCTCAGTGAAATGTAAAATTCCTGTAGAATCACTTATTTTCATTGGTGTTATGTATGTTTAACCACATTCATATTTCTAAATGTTTTTTTTGTTCTGTACAGAATGCAACAGACAGCAGAAATGACAGCAAAACATTGAGGCACAGATCAACAAAAAAATATTTAGCATGTCAATGAATGTCCAGAGCTCCAGTTGGCACATCACTTATGCCACTTCCTTGTCTCCCTCCTCCTCCTCAAACCCACCCTCCTCTTCCATGGTAGCATCCTGGTACTCGGACATCAGGTTGTTCATGTTGCTCTCTGCCAATGTTTTGTTTCCTCCAGTTTCTCCCTTCAGTCCAAAGACATAATGGTAGGTTAGATAAGATTACTTTATGGGCTATATACAACTTCTTGCATTAGGAATCCTTGAATGCAAAATTTGTATTTTCACCCCAGCTTGCTCTCCATGAGACACACAGGCAGGGAGAGAGAAGCTTGGAGTCTGAGCACAGCACCCCTGGATAATGGGCCCAAGGGCATAGGATTCCTCTGCCAGCCATGGGATTTGAACCAGCAACCTTCCAGCTACAGATCCTTAGCTACAGTGCCACTGAATTAGCTTATTTAGCACACCAATGTACACATGCTGACACAGCTATCTACTTGAACTACTTAAATACAAAATACTTTAATAAAACATTTTCATAATTAATATAACATTAACTATATTATTATTATTATATAATTAATATGTATATTTATTATTATAAATATAATAATTACTTACACTTACAGTATATAGCACTTTTGTTGATTTTTCAGTATTGAATTCAATATGAATATGAATACAGTACTGAACTGGAATTTTCAGTATTGACTTCTCCTATCGGTGGATTACTGTCCTGGTGTAGAAACATGTGACAAATATGGTTCGTTTGGCTCGAGAGCCACTTCTCCAGAGCAGGGCTCCACAGAGCTGCTCGGAGAAGGTGCCTTCACAGATCAGTCAGACAGAACAGACCCATTCCGGTACTTTCTTAAGCCGTATTGTTCAGTTCTTTGTATTTAAAACAATGGGCATTATTTTACTGAGGGCTGAATCAGCGCACTATGCAGGCCTGGAGTTTGAAATAGTTTGTAAGTTAGAGTTTGATTCTCTCTTATCGGGATTCCTATTACTATTAAATAAAAAAAAACACTTCCCTAATCGACATAAGCTCTTCACTAAGAACCACTGAAATTCACGTTTAAACTTTACAGAACTCTTAAGTTGCAACAAAGGTGCAAATATTGTTAAAACATAATATAATATGAGAAAATGTTACTTTCTCCCTACTTCAAAGTGACATTGTTTGTTTCAAGTAACCAACACATAAAACAATGAAGACAATTGAAACTCTGACCAAAGCAAAACAATCAAGTTGCCTTTTCCTTAAACAATGCTGGGAATATTTGTTTGTCCATTGTCTCCACTGAGTAGGCTCTGTTCTAAAACACTGATTAACTTCAACATTACTGCTCTGTGTAAACAGTATATAATTCTAAAACAAAGACATTATAAACATAACATGTTTTAAAACTAAAATAAACTAGTAAGAAAAGCAAACAACCCTTAGCCATGTCCTTAACTAAAGATTAACAATAATGGGGCAACATAAACTATAGCAAAGGACATGAAGCAAGAAAACAAACGTCAAAAGGACATAAAAAGAAGAAAAAATAAAACAGTCCCAATATGTGTAAAATGAAACAAAACAACAAACAAACAAAACTGTAGTGCATCACACTACACCTCACACCTCACACCCTCACACCTGAAGAAGGCTCCGAAACATTGTTTTCTTTCTTCTTTTTTTTCAGCATGGAATAAACTTATTACTTGTTCCTTTACACTACAACAAATACGGCTAAATAACATAATAAAATAAGTGTTAAAACACCACCAAACTTAACTCACATTAGGAAATCAACAGAATCACCATTAAGCACAAATCAGAACCCATTTTCAGTGCAGTTTCTTTTCCTGAGGGTTCATCCCAGTCAATGGTTTTATGCTTAACCAGGCTCCATGAACAGTACCCTTGAGAAAGGCCCAATCACTGCTTTGGTCTGCCCAGCTCAAGGGCAGGCCCATTTCTTTTCAGCAATGCTGAGTTACCAGGAATAATAATAATAATAATAATAATAATAATAATAATAATAATAATAAACTTTATTTTATATAGCGCCTTTAAAGGGTGGCTTCTCAAAGTGCTTTACAGAATGAAACAACAATAAATGAGAAGAATACACAAGATAAAACACAATTACAATACACAGAGGAGACCGTGGATGGTGGTACTTAGTATAGCAGGATCAGAGAGGTAAAGAATGGAACCAGTTAAGTAAAGGCTCTTCTAAACAAGAAGGTTTTGAATTTGGATTTGAAGGAGGTTAGAGAAGGTGACTCTCTGATGTCCTTGTGGAGAAGGTTCCAGAGAGTGGGGGCATAAAAGGAGAAGGCCCTGTCACCCATAGAATGTAGATGGGCTTGGGGGACAGTTAGGAGACCAGAATTAAAAGAGTGAAGGTTGCGAGGAGGGGAGTAGGGTGATAATAGTTCAGACAGATACTGAGGTGCCAAGCCATGCAGAACCTTATAGGTGAGCAACACTGCCCCTGACCAAATCAGTCCCACTGTGTTGGTACTGCAGTGTAAACTCCCAGACGAGTTCAAAATGGCGCCATCCAATCTTGTAGCCGGGAATGGGAGAAATGGCTGTCCGGCTGATATCGTCTGGAGACAAGATGGATTCAGTGTCTTGTCTGTGTTCCTGCTGCTGTGAGGGGGAGGGTTCAGTGCTGACATCCTGGATCTCCGATACCTGTCCTTGTCCAGAGAAGCTGAATGACCCTCCATGCTACCTGTGGCGCTGATGCACACTGATACACCTGAGGCCAGCAGCTGTATCACCTTGCCACTCAGTAGATGTGAGCCTGGTCAGTACCTGGATGGGAGACCTCCTGCCCAAAATTCCAATCAGCCTTTACCGATCATGGCTTCCTTATAATCCCCATCTATGAACTGGTTTCATCACTCTGTTCTGTGTATAGAGAATACTGTGAGCACTATGGCTACCATTACATCATCCAGGTGGGGCTGCATATTGGTGGTTGTGGAGGGGAGTCCCCATTACCTGTAAAGCACTTTGAGTGGAGTATGTCGGAGTCAGGACTTGCTGCTTATTAGAGAGGCCCATCACAGACACAGTTCTACTGGCTTCCATCCGCAGAGAGAGGCTGTGGCTTGGGTGACTGTCCATTCAAGGCAATAGTAAAAGCTTATCACTAAACACTAAACTCTAAGAGGAATAAAAAGCTTTGCTGCTACAGCTTATTTAGACTTCAACAGCTGCTGTGTGGAAGGACCCCACTACACTGGTCAGTTTACATTGGTGTAAACTGCAAACAAAGAGCTGTGTGGATCCATGCTGGCAACTGCACTCCGAGCTCTGGGATCACCAACCTTATAAAAGAGAAAACCAGGGCTGAACCAAGCTGCAGAGCATACCCCCCCCCCAACACACACACACACACACACAACCTCTCACATTGCTGGGATTGCATGGGAGCACTGAAACCATGTCTAAACATGCAGTGAAAAAATCCGCATTTCTTCTGCTAAAAATTCACAACAGATTTGATGAGTACATCTAAGATTCAAATTGAAGTCCATTATTGCAAACTTCATTGGCTTGCTTGTTTTCAAAATGGGCCTCTCCTCACTGAAATTCGCCTGGGGCTCTAGGATCGCTAAAAACACCCCTGTGTCAGGCTGACAGCAGCCTCAGGCATGCGCATTGCGTCCTCCACTGAGTGTAACGTAACAGCTCGAGTTATAGTGCTGTGGTTTCTACAAACTTGTCAGGCACATTGAAAATGAGATGCCTTCAATGCAAGATGTGGAAGTGGATAATGTTTCTGTAAGCCCTGCTACTGGCTTCGGCAGGGATAGCAAAAGTGAAGTTGCTGCTTTTCCAATTTGAACTTAAAATGTTGACCTTTAACCTGGACCAGAACCACTGTCAAATATCATCTGAAACACAGATTTGTTTCTTGGTCAGTAAAATATCTCAGCCCCACCGTTGTTGCTACAGCCCCACTGAGTTACATGCGTTACAGTAAGAGTCTGGGTTAGCTGTTGCTTAGTTTACCTGTTTTCTGCTTCTGTTCTCAGCCAGAGGAGCCAACGTCTTTCCTAGAAAGCAAAGTGAAAGCCGGTATAATTTAGAATGATATATCGGTCAAAGGGTGTACAGTGTTTAACTGAACACGCAACATTCAAGATCATTCAAGATATTATCAAGGCTGTGTGTCTTCTATAGTGATCGAGGCCAGAAATTCCTCATTCCAGTTCTCAGGTTTGAGAATTCTGCTGGTTTTAAGTCCTCAGCAGTTGAAGGCTGAAGAAAATCGTTTTAATTTAACCCTTCTCACAGGTGAAGAACTGTTTCTAACTAAGGAGATGCAGAAAGCCTGACATCAGAATCCTGAGTTCCGGTGCTGGGAACCTCAACAAAACTAGACACGTTCTGTCTGAATAGAAATACATCTCTCATATACAGAGTTGAAAGACTTAGGCTTTAATTACCACAGAGAGTCAGGACCTCGGTTTTACGTCTCATCCGAAGGATGGTGCCTGTCTACAGTATAGTGTCCCCGTCACTATACTGGGACATTAGGTCCCACATGGACCACAGGGTGAGTGCCCCCTGTTGGCCCCACTAACACCTCTTCCAGCAGCAGTTTTTCAAACTCTGTCCTAATGTTTAAGAGGGAGACTCTTAGGGCACGACAGTAGGAAGTCAGGCTGAAGGCAGGTTTGGATTCAATGAGATGGAGGTCAGCGTCTCTGAAGGATCTGGTCCATCTCCTGCTCTTTAGGTTTGTTAAGTCTCTTACCTGGCCTTCTGATGTAGAGAACAACAGCTGCCAGCACAAAGATGCACACAACCACCGCAAGGCTTACTCCCAACACAATAAACTGTCCTGTAATAGTACAAGAAAGGGATTTTGTTTATTTATTTGGTATTTTTAAATTGTTTGCTGCTGTTTGGAGAATCCTGGCACTGGTATAGCTTAAGCCACACCTGGACAACAGGACTGAAAGCACTCACTGCGAGCGCTGCTACTGGCTGAGACAATGAGTCAGCAGCATTCCGTAAGGTTCGAATATATTTCATTCCTCGTACTGATGGGCAGCATTTCAACAACCCAGATTAGAGGAACTGAATCTTTTTAGTCATGGACAGAAGAGATCCCAAGACAAAATATTTAAAAGTCCTAAAATATACTTGCAGGAGCATCTCAACGGATCCAATAGGAAACACAGACCTAATGAAATATTGAGAGCAGGAGGATTTGTCTTTACACAAAGCATTGTGGGAGTATGGAACAAGACATTTATTTGCATTGAGTCATTTTCTAAACCTTGCATTCAAATACTGCATTTTAAAGAGTGCATGAATAAGAATTATGCTGTTGCCATTATATTTCTCTGTCTCCAGGTGTCAGATTTACCACAGAAGTGTCACTCTTGGATGAGAGGATCTGAGAACATTCACTGTGGGCATATTTAACCTGAATGGATTTTTTTTTTATGGGTTACTGATTTTTTTTTATTGTCTTTAGTCACACTGTTGCCATTGTGAGCCAATCCGAGCCTTAGGGTAATCACACAATGAGGAATAATACTATATAAAGTAATATAAATGATATATTCATTTATTTTATAATATAACAATATAATACTTATTATTACACACACACACATATATAAGCACTTATACTGCTTACACTTATATTGCACTTTTCTGGGCAATTCACTCAAAGTGCTTTATAGGTAATGGGGACTCCCCTCCACCACCAGTGTGCAGCCCCACCTGGATGATGCAACGGCAGCCATGGTGCACCAGTACACTCACCACACATCAGCTATCAGTGGGGAGGAAAACAGAGTGATGAAGCCAGTTCAGAGATGGGGATTATTAGGCCATGACTGGTAAAGGCCAGGGGGAAATTTGGCCAGGACGCTGGGATTACACCCCTACTCTTTTCAAGAAACACCCTGGGATTTTTAATGACCACAGAGAGTCAGGACCTCAGTTTTACATCTCTTCCAAAGGACAACGCCTCTCTACAGTACAGTGTCCCCGTCACTATACTGGGGCTTTAAGACCCACATAGACCACAGGGTGAGATCCCCCCGCTGCCCCCACTAATGCCTCTTCCAGCAGCAACCTTAGTTTTTCCCAGGAGGTCTCCCATCCAGGTACTGGCCAGGCTCATACCTGCTGAGCTTCAGTGGGCTGCCAGTTGTGAGTTGCAGAGTGTTATGGATGCTGGCTTGATGATACATGGACAGATTGTTGGTATTTCTGGCTGATACAGGTGGTACTGGCAGGAAGAAAAATTAATCATACCATCACTCTCAAGACACTGGAGATGAAGAACTAATGACACTGATTACTATTAAATATAGTGCCAGTCAGGTACCCTCAGCGATGTGGAATGATGCCTTGATACTTGATGTAATTAACAGTTCCTCTTAACACTTCCTTTTTTCTGTTGTGTTTTTAATCTTTGCTCTGAAGGCTGCACTTGTCATGCTTCATTAGTTTCAGTGTGAGTTGCGTTGCAGGGTGATACGGCTGCTGAGTAGGTGGATGTACTTTACTAACAGATACACCCAAGAGTGTTATATGCAAGCTTTATTTCCGCTGTCAGAGGGACCCTTGAAAACAACTGAATACGCTGTTTCCAGGAAGTGGTAATCGAGTGTTTGTTTTAAGTGGCAGCATTTACCTTCAGCTGCTATTGTCCAAAAGATCTTTAACCTGATTCAACTATATGAGTTAGTATACTAGCTCTAAGTAAAAGTGAAGGATCCTTAGAAATTATGGTGACCCAGCCTGCCATTGATGAGTATGAGTAGTTATTTCTTTAACCAATTGATATCTTCATTACAGATGTGATAATTGACCTGTAAATGCTATTTACGAAATGAGCCAAAGTCTATCTTCATTTGTTTTTCTGTTCTTAATTTTCATTTTCACACAATAAAAGCTTTTTGATATATAGAGCTTAGTGGCCACTCAATAGCACATTGGTGGGACCCTGGGTTCAATTCCTGCTATCTGTGTGGAGTTTGTATGTTCTCCCCTTGTCTGCATAGGATTCCTCTGGATGCTCTAGTTTCCTCCTGCAAATCAAGGACATAATGGAAGGTTAACTGGCTTCTGGGAAAACTGGCCCTGGTGTGAGTTTGTCTGTGTGAGTCCTGTCCTGGGTGTACCCTGTCTTGTACCCATTGCTTGCCAGGATAGGCTCTTGCTCCCCTACAACACTGAATTGGATAGAAAATGGATGGATATTTGTTACTAGGAAAAGGGTTAAATGAGCGATGATTTATTGAGCACTGACTCCATGTCTCAGTGCAGCAATGACTCCCAGATGAACCCAGGTCACAGTGTGACAGGTGTGGTCCTGTACCTTTGCTGTCCTGGTTGATCTGGTCCCCCGGTACAAGTGATGTGGCATTAGAGCCTGCAATAAAGGATGAAGAGTTGGACAATGTCAGAAATAAGACCCAGGAACTCTTGTAAGCAGAACTAAAACTCACATCCGGCTGCACATCAGCACACGTGTATTTCCTTTGGATGCATTATTCTGAAAAAGTGTTTCCACAGGTTACAGGAATTCCCTGTTCTTAGATTTCAGAAATAACCAAAATACACATGACTTCAAATATTGATCTACTTCATGGGGTACAATTCTGTTTTTCCACAAAGGGGCAAAAACATGGTATTACTCCTTCTGTTGGTATCACTCCTCTGTAGAACTGTTCTATCAGGCTCATGATTGCAGATGTCAGATCAAATGACACATCACTAGCAAGATGTTAAGATGCCATAAGGCACCTGTGCTAACCAAGTCGTTGCACTCATTTAAATTAGATTAAGCCAATTGTTGAAGCTCTCATGCTATGAAAGTTCACATTGTGATGCGAGAACCCTCATGTCAGTCTCAGCACTTGACAGGACAGATGTGACTATTCCAGGTTACTTTTAGGGTGAGAACGTGTTCCTCAGGGTGAGCTGTAGGAGTCGAGCTGAGGTGTACAATCACACACTCCCTGTGTCCATTTCAGGCAGAAAACCCAGTGCTGTCACTCAAGATGGCAGAGAAGAAAAAAGAAAATCAGTATTTCTGTCCAGCTGGGATGAAACAGTTTTTGTCTACTTTTCCAGAGCAATCCTGCATTTTGTTGTAACAATATAGACAGAGTCTAGACATGAAGTGGAGCTGTGGTAGCTCAGACAGTAAGGGCGTCTAGCTCTTGGGTGAAAGGTCCCGCGTTCAATCCCAGGTAGGGGCAAGTGATGTAGCTTGCTGTAATTCCTTCCAGCCAGCTCCCAGATCCACTCAACCTGCTTTCCAAATGAGTACCAGTGATTAGTCCTTTTGGGGGTAACAGGCCAGCCGGAGCGTGATGCTAACCACATCACCTCCACCTCTAGTGTCAGATGGCCCATTCCCCCATGGGCCTTAATGGCCTGAAAAGGGACTTTCCTAGACATTAGGTAAGGGAGTGTAGTGAAGACGTCTGGAGAGTTTAAGGTTCCCTGAAGGGGGTGAATTTGCTGTTTGCCAGTTACAAATCAGTGTTAAAGGAACAGCTGTCATTTTTTGTCTTTTTGCTTCTACATAAGAATGTGCAACAAAATAAAAAATGCATAAAAATATTCATAGGAAGCAGAAGACACATTGATGTACACTTTGTAGAGCTGTCAGAAATGTGGTTAGCAGTGTCTGCCTGCTTCCTTGTGCCTGGCAGAAAAGTTTTAAACATGACAGATATTCTCTCTCTCTTCCTTGTTTCCCCTTTGTGCTTTCGCTGATACCTCCCTGCAGCTGAAGTATTGTGCTTCTCAGACTGTTTGTTTTTCCCCTGAAAGAGCCCTGCCCTTGTGGAGTCTGTCAGTAAAGTCTTAAATCTGGATTCTCTCTCTTTCATTTCTGAGGCTGAATCTAGACTTTATCTTCTCTACTGGACTGGATCCAGACAGTAAGATCAACAGGAGTTTTATGAGAGTAAAGCTCCACAGCGTGTCTTGGGCTGATGCACAATACACCCACAACACAGAGAAGGAACTGTGGGCCTGTACCTCTGACAAACTCCCCTCTCTTCTGCAGATACTCACAGACACCTCTTTCCACTCACCTCCAGCTGACTGGGTGGAACTGTCCATGGCTGCTGTCTTAGTAATGTCCATCAGTACAGTCACAGGCATGGAGGTGGACAAAGTGGATACGGTCATTGCTGGACAGATAAAGACACATCAGTATTGAGGTCTGAGCCGGGATGCAAGTCACAGAACAATTCAATGACGTTTTGAATCAAGTTTATGACGAAAGGCCTTCCTGAGAAACATTAACATTGTCTCCTTCCCTGAGCTCTAAAACACAGGAAAGTATCGAGTGCTGTTACACTCAGCAGTGTCATGTTAGGAAGAAGCACACACTGGAGTGAATGCATTTAAACTGCAACACAGAATGGAAATCCCACATTGACTGTCCCTGGTCAGCCTACATAAAGACTCTTCACTACCACAGAGCCACACAGTAGGCAGACTGTCTGCTTTCTGAAACATGAAAGGAAGCAAATTTATACTGATCTACATCACAACAAGACCATCTGTTTCACTGCTGAAGTGTGTAACAACTACAGTAGCTTCTCGAAACTGTTGAAATCATTCTTATTGTTTCTTCCCGAATCAAAGTCCTACTTTAGAATGGATCCAAACATCTAATTAGGTGTCTTTGAAAAGAAAGGACTGCCTGCAGAAACCATGAGGCAGTGATGTCATCTGACTTGTTCCGCAAGACATTTTGACTGTGATATACTGTACTGTGATGCTGGAAGACAATTATATTTATATTAAAACTATGCACAACTAAGTTTCAAAAGCTAATAACATATACAATAAAGTTCTCAATATACTGCAGTAACTGATATGACATTTTGAATTTCTTGATCCCCTTAAATCCTGAGCCTGAGGACCAATAATTGCTGTGAATCACAGACAGCAGTGGGTCTGTGTATTCATATTCCTGATATGGTTTTACATTCAATCCACACATCAAATCACAAACTGGTCATTTAAAAGACAATGCAAAATCTTACATTGATTTATACCTTGTGTATGTTTCCTGACCCTCAGATGTATTTCTGAGAGTCTGTCAGTCCCCCATTGCTCCAGTCCACAGTAATACACCCCAGTGTCCTGCAGGGTCAGTCTGCTCATGGTCACAGTGAAGGTCCTGAATGAGACATTGTCATAGAGAGAGAATCTCCCCACAGAGACCACAGTGTCCGTCTTGCCAGTTTTAATGAGAACGTCCTTATTCCCACAGGGATGCCGACACCAGTACTTCTTCTTGTACTGATACCCATCTGGATAGTTGCACTCAATCTCTACACTTCCTCCTTCAGATCCACTCACTCTCCTCTCTGCTGACATCACACAGCCTAGAACTTCAGAGAAAGAAAGTGTCAGGAAAAGACAACAGCAGACCAGAGCCACAGTCTCCCAGGAGAGAGTCAGATTGTCTGAGTTCAACTCAGATTCAAAAGGACCAGGAGGACAGCAAGTAGCCGATATATAAAATATCCAGCCATCTTCGAACTGTTTCTTCCACTACAGTGTCGTGTGGCAGCCAGAGCGTATCCTGGCATTCAACAGGCGCAAGGCGGGATACACCCTGGACAGGATGCCAGTCCATCACATGGCCAACATATACAAACACTGAAACACACAACCCACACCTCGGCCACTTTTTCTCAAAATCCAATTCACCTACAAGAATGTTTTTGGACTGTAGGAGGAAACCGGAGCACTCAGAAACGCACACAAGTATTGGCAGAACATACAAACTCCACAGGGATCACACCCCAGCTCCAGAACTGAACCCAGGGCAATGCTAACCACTGGGTGAACGTGCTGCCCTCTACATACTGTAAAAATAAGAATATATACATTTCTCTAGTTTATTTCTTTTCCATTATGCTTCTTATAGAATCAACATTCATTCTAATATTCCCTTTAATATCTAATTTTAACTGTACCACTCTCTATGTTTAACTGTAGTTAAACATTTTTAACTAAACGTTTTTGTCTCACGTTTCTAGACAATATACCCTTGTTAGCCCCAAGCTGTTCAAGGCAGTGGCAGAGAAGACAAAGGCTGCTGATGATTTCAAGCACTCAAGAACTGGAGATGCCCACCACTCATATACAGAAGTATGTGCACGTTTGAAATGAAAACTTGGTTTAGAAAAAAAGAATCATATTTCAGTATTAACGCTTTATTGAGTTCTTTCACGAGTTCATGTACTGTGTCATATTTTAATTATACAAAACTGAATTGTGGTTTATATTTTAGGATCCATCATCTACCCATGAGTGGGTTCTGAAGTGCATTCAGAATATTACAGCTGGACCGCAGCTGCACTGTCTCGTCGAACCCACATCAGTTCAGTTCAGTTCATCGGTTCATTCTGCACTTATACAGTGTGCTGGCACTGTGGCTAAGGATCTGTGCCTGTGGCTGGAAGGTTGCCGGTTCAGATTCAATGACCGGCAGAGGAATCCTACTCCGTTGGGCCCCTGAGCAAAGCCCTTAACCCCAGCTTCTCAAGGGGTGCTGTGTAAATGGCTGATCCTGTGCTCTGACCCCAAGCTTCTCTCCCTGTCTGTGTGTCTCATGGAAAGCAAGCTGGGGTATGCGAAAAGACAAATTCCTAATACAAGAATTGTATATGGCTAATAAAGAGAACTAAATATAGTTTCTCCTGGCCCAAGGTGCACAATACACTCGAAACAATGAGCATAATGTCACAGTACAACACAGAAGAACACACACGAGGGGGTATTGAGAATCATTAGCAGCTATTGAGGTAATATTGGTATATAAGTAAAAATTAAACAATGTAAAGAGTAGATAAACAGATACAGTAAATAAATGGGTATTTAAAGTAGTGTAAGTAGTGATATGCAAATAAGCATTCTGAAATACAGGGGTGGAGGACGTAGTCATAATACAACACAACAGTGGCTTTGAGGGGTTTCAGGTTGAGAGGTGGGCTGTGAAAAGAGGCAGAAGAGGTACAGAGCTCAGGAAATTCACTGCGCACACAGATCAGGCTAAAGGTCACCTAGCAGACGTGGTTTTAAAGAGTACTTTCTGTAAAATAACCTCTAAGGGCTTTGGGTGGTCAGGTGCTCGATCTTCTTTTTCGCTTTCAGCCGAAATTGCTTGCGTCTTTATGAAGGTGTGAACAAGTAAAAAAACATTTCTCGCCACACCATGAAATGAGGATCTTTTTAGTTTTTAAATCTTTTAGTCTGTTGCACAAACTACTTGAATTCACAGTTAAACTCTTTCACCAGGTCTGGAGCAGGAGCTTCTTGAAGGAGCCCCATTAACAACCCCTGGACTGGGGCGCTGGGGCATCAGAGTGGAGGAACAGGGGCGCAGATCTACAGTGGCAGGAGAGAGCAGCACGTGGAACAAGGACACAAACATGGCACTTCTCTTCTTGACAATGAGTTAGAAGAGTTAGTTGTTCATTTGAAGCTCATCCTGTTTTTGAAGATCTTAAATTAACGTTTTGAGGTGAGTCTGTAAATTATCCCTAGGAGAGCTGAGTCTTCAAGTTTTTAATCCTAGATCTAAATTACTTTATTCCGAAGACAGTTTTGCATTAAGTATTCAAGGTTATTACAGACTGAGGTCTGTAAAATAATTTTAGAAGGGTATTGTTTTACAACAGAATGGCATTGAGACTGTACTAGCTAAAAAAAAGTTTACACTATTGTTTGTGTATTAAAATAGGAAAAGGATTGTTTTACAAAAGTACTGTATATAAAATATGACACTCTTTGCACAATCGAAGAGCAGCGCCTACCTGGGTGACACACAGCAGATCAGGCAGAAGAGTAAGATCTTCTTACTTGGTGAAGGAGTGGTGAAGACACTCCTTCACCAACTGAAGCAAGAGTGGAATTTAACCAGGTGAGCGCTCCAGCTCCTACTGACCTTGACCTTACCGATGCTCACATTAAGAAACTGTTTTGGTGCCTCGGTTAGACACTTCTGCCATTTACTTTGAGCTCTTGAGGAGGGGTCGGTGACGATATAGCGGAAAAATAAACCTTAAAAAATAAAACCAAAGAAACAAACCCTCACCTGTCAGGAGACAGACCGTAGAAACCGTAGCCCTCATTTCCCACTGCATTTGAAATCTTACATTTCCACTGAGTCTCGTCCCAGTCAGACTTCTTCTTCCTTTGTGAAAGCAAGTGACGCTGCAGGTTTTTATAAATTGAGCTGTGGCATAATTGCCGCACCGAGATAAATTAGAGAAACGAACATACTGTATGCAATCTGTACCTCGCCATGCTTAGATCAGCCCACCCAAAAATGTTTTCACTTCTTTGAACTCAAGAGGAACTAAATCATGTTTTGGGTTTCAAGATTATTAATTTATGTCTCGTAACCCGTGTTGTTAGATTATGTCTTGAACAACCACCATTAAAAACACAGAGCCAATGTTCCTCTGAAACAAAAAAAAACGTTTTGGAAAATTCTGCTTGTGCGCAGCAATGGGTCTGAAGGAAGAATAAATAATTATATTTATTGATAATTATATTTTTATACTCTAACCTTGTTTACGAAAACTGGGGGCATTGAGATTGCACATTTTTGCACACACACAGTTTATGTTGTACATTTCTAATGAGAATAAGAACTGGCGCACAGCATGCTGGCGCTTTGGGTGGTGTCTAGAAAATCGCTCTTCTAATTAAGGAAACGATGAAAACCGGACTGGAGATGAGAACCCCGGGTTTATAGGAATATTAAAATTCTCAGTGGTTAAAGTTGGATAATGTCTTTTTTACATTTCCACATCCAATGAGGAATGAGGGTGAGTGTATTACCATAGCTCTACAGTGTCGCCTACACGTCCCTGTTTTCTGACTCCTTCACCCTGACAATCACTGAAACCAATGGAGACCCCCAAACATATCGCCCGTAATTCAATTTACAATTATGTATGAGTCGAATCCTTTTCTGGCATTTTTACGTACTGTGTTTTCCCCTTTAGCAACCCTTTGTTCTTCTAATGCTGCCAATTGCAACGACTTTTACAGAGATAGCTTGCTCGCCACAGTTCGATTTTCAACGGGGCGAAAGCCGAAACGGGTATCAATTGTTTCCGTTTTAAATATGGGTTAGGTTTTAACTTGAGGTAACTTGGAAAACCATTTTGTCGGAATGTGGTGACTTTAGTTTTCAAGTTATTGCAATGTTAAAGATGCCTTAGCAAAAATACTCCGGTATTGTAGGTATAGGTTTTGTTTCTCGTAAGCACATTTCATTCACTCCTTCAATTCGTCTCCATGCGTGGCACCTGATCCGCATGTCCGTGGTGTTTAAGAGCCTTTCTTTCGAAATGTGTGCGGGATGGTATCAGGTGGACTGGCTGGTGATTCGAGCTGCCGAGTGCGACACTGTGCCACCGGCTGGACTCTGCTCATGTGGTCACTGGAGACCCGGGGCAGCGCCGGCCGTCAGTCACTGATCTCAGTGGAGCGCTGTCGCCCCCTAGTGGTCATTGACCACACTGAGGTCTTCCGCCTGTGGTGGCAGAGGGAGAGTTCAGTACAATTCTCTAGACACGACAGACTTTACAAGTGAAACTGATGCTTCTAATGGCAAGGACCATTGTAAAAGTATAATGAAATCTGTTTTTAAAACTTCAAGTGCATTGGGATTTTGGAAGTGGGCTAAGCCAGGCAGTGACGAGATGGATGTTGGAGTGACCTCTGCTGGTAGGAAGAGGAACCGCACCTACGAGAACTGTAAAGCTGAATAAGCAAGACGCAACTTCTCAGTCACAACTGGCGAATTGTCACAAAAGGCTTTAATTGAAGACTACAGAGATCCATTCTCAAAGCCCTCATCTTAACCTTTAAAGCTGCTCAAGAGTTAACTCAAAAGTCTCTTTCACCTGTGGACTGTAGCAGTTGTCATTCTCTGTACTGTAAAATGGCAGAAATCCATGTCTTTGTGTTGTGATCCTATCCATCCTATCCCAGCACCTCCTCTGCCTCTACACCTGTGGGGCTCCTAGGTGTAAATCAACATGTTGACTCACAGTTCCCTGATCACCTGATCCCAGCAGGTGTCCTGTCAGTCCAGTAACAGCTTCACTGCAGCAGCTCACAGTCACAGAGGAGGGGTCAGTCACAGGCTACTGAGTCTGGAGAGAGCAGCTCTGCTGCAGCTCTGCCCAGCACAGCCCGGCCCTGGGCAGCAGTGCTCTGCTGAGCTTCTCCGATGGGCCAGCTGGAGGAGACTTACCCAGGGAACGTGTGGCATCTTCCATCTCTGTCTCACAAGAATGAAAATGGCCACCAGGAGCAAAAGTGCCATTACTCCAAGTGTTGCTTCTAAAACAGCATGAGCAAACTGGGTTGCTGTCTTCCTGCTACAGATCATCCATTGTTTATTAACCTATTTTAAATATAAAGGAGGTTAAAACAAAACAAGGAAGAATTTGAGCATTTACCTTTTTTAAAGTGTATAAGATAGTGACAAGTTGGCTTTGAAAAATGCCTTTTACCTAGCAACAGTATGAAAGAACAATTGCAAGTTTATTAGTTGATGTTTTGATGCTAATGCTAGGAATGCAGAATGTCTAGCTAAATTTCACAGCTTTTATTTATATACTTCCTTTTGTCTGTAGACAAGGTGAAATGGCTTCTTAAGAATATTGTGGTCAATTACAAAGAAATGTTTGTAGAGGGAAAAATAAGTCCTAATTTAGAATGAGCTTTCCTGTGTGAATTTGCTGTATAAACCTCTTTGCATTTTATGAAGAATGTGCATGTTCTCCCGTGGTCATGGGATTTTTCAGTGCTCAGGTCTTCTTTCACATCCAAAGTGAGGCAGGTTGAGGACTAACTTTGTGTGTCTGTCTGTGTGTGTGTGTGTGCGTGCGTGCACTCCCAGCAGTGAACTAGCATCTACCGTGCAAAACACTACTAACTTAAAAAAATAAAAGCCTTTTTATTATAACTGATAGTTATACTTATACTGATAGTGCCAAATCATTTATGTTATGAAGTCATGGCAAAGCCAATACCAACAGAAAATAAAGAGTGATGTTTGTGCTTTAATTGAGTCTATGTTTTTTATTTTTCTATTTGCAGCCCAGTTAAGGTCCTGTAGATGGTTTCATTAGCATGAAGGAGCCAAATCCCTGGTGTGGCTCCTTAGAAAATGAGCAGAAACTATCAAGAGATACAGTTACAGCAAAACATTGTTTCATTTTCTTTTATTTTGAATAGGTATCAAACACAGTATTTTGACAGGTGTATTCAAATCCAACATAACAAAAACTTAATTAATCCATTTTACGCATTATACAAAAAGACACCTTATTCAAAACACTTAAGTGTGTTATTGGTTCCTATAGGTATTTACTGTAAGTGCCCAACTGATATGAACAGATGGTCCAGTGGTTAATTATAAATGTAATGATGAAATGTATCATGTTAAATAGAAAGAGGATATGATGCCTCATACCTCTAACTATTTTGATTGTCTTTGCACCACACTGGTACTTTTTATTTTAATCACAGCATCACAATGCAAATGTAAAAATGGTGCAATATAAGAGATGAGATAAGATCAGATCACTTTATTGGCCATATACAATTTCTGGTATTAGGAATTTATCTTTTTCAAATACCCCAACTTGCTCTCCATGACACACACAGAAAGGGAGAGTAGCCTGGGGTCAGAGTGCAAGGTCAGCCATTTATACGGCACCCCAATATCATCTGGTTACAAAAAACACTTCTGTTCTGTAATCAGTCAAAAGAAAGGAGAGTGACAAGGTGTACTCTCAGGTTAAATTAGTGTCTCCTGCTGAGAAATAGGAAAAAAAACACATCTCATGAGAACAAAAAAAGAAAAGATTAGGAAAATCCCCAAAGGTATAGCCAAAGACAGCCCAGTGGGTCTCTTAGCGATGTGATGGTTTGGATTTATTAGAACAATCAGAACTCAGAACAGTGGAATGTGAGAGTATGTTTATTACTGATAGGACTCAATTAGAGAATTTAAAAACCAGCATCTGCACAGTGATTCAAAATAAAAAATACACAACTTATTAACAGAACAATGTTGCAACGAGGTGGACCGCTACTTTCACCAGAAGCCACAAGAGAGAGCCCATGTCCTCTTAATTCCAACCTTAAATCCTTTACCTTTATAGAATCCGTGAGTGTTAGAGGGAAGGACTCACATGGATATTCTAAGCTGATCTCTATTTTCTAACGAACGAAAAAGGACAGCTGTAGAGCAGAAGGTGAGTTACTTTTGAGACTTTAGCAGAAGCAGTTGTATTGCTTAAAAACAGAGGAGAAGAGCATATAGAGTAAATCATTTCTTACTTGTTGTTTTGGATCAGGCATCTGAACAACCAAGAGAAATGAGTGGGAGGGTGGGACCTTTTGTATGTTGTGGGTACAGTATGTGTGTAAGCCAGTTAAAAAGTCTTTCATAATGTCTTGTAAGATCCTCAAGTCAGGATATAGCAGCTGAGTGCCAGCTTGTTAAACATGCGCAGCAAAGCAGCAGGAGTAATAATGTGAGTGAATGAGCCTTGACACACATGACTGATGATTCACTTAGAGACTGCAAAGATATTAATAACATCAGGCTCAAACACATTAACTGCAACACTTGTAATTTAAATAGATCTCCTATTATTAAGTAATATCAGTTACTGGTCTTCTTGAAAACTAGTAAATATAGACATATGGGCATGAGCTGAACTTTATCAATAATAGTTTATTAATTCTTGAGACTTCTAACATGAACAATGAATTAATCTAAAGCAACACACTGGCCAGGCTGTTCAATGGAGAGTTGATAACCCCATGGAGAGAGAGAGAGAATAGATCCTCAAGTCACACTCTCATCCTGGTGGTTCTTAAACTGACGTTTAAGAAGCTCAGAAAGAGTGGCCGCAGTCAGGAGGTTGATTATCTCGTCCGAGTGCCAGGGTTCGACTGAGAGAGAGCAAGCCAGTTGTGCTCTACCTTTCAAGTCCAATAATCGCACTTAATTAATAATAATAATTGCTTACATTTATATAGTGCTTTTTTTCTGGACACTCCACTCAAAGCGCTTTACAGGTAATGGGGACTCCCCTCCACCACCACCAATGTGCAGCCCCACCGGGATGATGCGACGGCAGCCATAGTGCGCCAGAACGCTCACCACGCATCAGCTATTAGTGGGGAGGACTTGCTGCTTATTGGAGCGGCCCATCTCAATCACATTCCTCAGGCGAGTACAGCAGAAATAACCTGTACCAGGGTGATTGTCTATTCAAGGCAGCAGTAAGAGATTCCTGAAAAAGTTTTTCACTAAACACTAAACTCTAAGAGGAATAATAGTTTTTCCGCTACAGCCTTTATGAACTACAGTACAATAGCTGCTGTGTGGAAGGACCCCAGTACACTGGTCAGTTTATATTGGCGTAAACTGCAAACAAGGAGCTGGGTGGATCCATGAAACTGTGTACTCTCTGTAGGGAAAAAAGTAATATTAATATTGGTCAACAGCACAACCTGCCACAGTACTCATGTTCTAGATTTCAGTTTGCACCTGCGCTGTGGAGAGTTTTTTTAAGGTCTCTGTCAGACTGACGCCACTGCCAGTTAGTTTGTGGGCAGCACTTCTCGCCAACAGGGCTGTGGTGCAGGTCACAGCTAGAGCTGACATCTTCATCACTGGGCAACCCAGGCACAGAGAAGTATTGATAACCTACTGATTGATCAGCTCATCACATTGCTGGGATTGCATGGAAGCACCAAAACAGTGTCTAAATATGCGGATAACCGATCCACATTTCCGATGCTAAAAAGTCACCACAATGAAGAGCGAAGGTCCTAGAAAGTCCAAGATTCCAATAGAGTCCACTGTTGTAATGTTCACTGGGGGGCTTGTTATCATATTGGCTTCTCGGGGAACTTCATCCGGGGCTCGAGGATCACTAAAAACACACCTGGGTCAGGTAGAGAGCAGCCTGAGACATGCCCAGTATGTCCTGCGCTGACTGCAAGCTGGCTAGCTTGAGTCTGAGGGCTTTGGACTCTCCAGAAGTGTCAGGACATAAAATGAGATGCCTTCATTGCAAGATGTGGACGTCGATATTCTGTTTCTGGAAACCACTACTACTGGCTCCAGCATGGATAACAAAAGTGAAATTGGTGCTTCCCCAAACAGAACTTTGAACTTGGACCTTTGACCTGTTCCAGAACTCCTTTCGAATGTCTTTGTAGTCTGAAACACAGATATTTTATTGACCACAAAACAATTTTTCCACAGTTGACATAGCTTACCTGTGCTGTGCCTGTGTTCCCAGCCAGAGAAGTCAAATTCTTACCTAGGAATCAAAGTGAGTACTTGTATAATTCAGAAAGATATATTAGTCACAAGGGGTTAATTTCAATGGCCTTTTGGATTTAGCATGTACCTGCACACTAAGTTGTGGACTAGTTGATATGGTGCTATTTGGAGAGCATCTCCAGCTTTGAGCTCAAGTGCAACAAAAAAAACATGCTGAACAAAGTCGGAGAACAGCTGAACTTGTGCTTAGTGCTCAGTTGAGCTCAGTGCTGAGGGCTCAGAAATGCTGTTGTTCTAATTAGAACAAACTGAAGGATCTCCCTCAATTTTAGAGGCCACATAGGCTGCAGCTGGTCTTCAGGTAGCGCCCTAGTTTAGCACAGGGCTGTGTGCTAACCATAGGTTGAGCTCCAGATAGTACCCTGCTTTCAGTTTGTTGCAATTGACTCAAGGTGCTCAGTTCAAAATCATACAAAATATAAGAAACACTGTTTCTTCTACAATGATCCAGACCAGGATTCCCCCTCTCCAGTTCTCAGTTTCTAGAACCCAGCTGGCTTTCTGGGCTCTTTAAGTCCTCAGCAGCTGAAGACTGTAGAGAATTAGTTCAGTTGAACCCTTCTCACAGGTGAAGAGTTGTTTGTAACTGAGGAGAGACAGAAAGCCTGGCATCTGAATCGTGAGTACCTCAGCCACAAACACAAGACACCTTCTGTCTAAACAGAAATGCACTTCATATACAGAGTTGAAAGACTCGGGCTGTACTGACTGAGCACCTAACCTTGAACTTGCAGAAGCTCAGGACACTAACAAGCAAGGGACAGACCTACTAACAAGGAGCACATGAGATCCACAGGAAGGGAAAAACAAAGGAGTATAATCAGGAGGTAGAGTACAGAATGTAATTGACTTGGTTCCTGATATAAAGGATAGGAAACACATCTATTGGAATTAACAGTCTTTTGGAAAATGAAGAGCTTTGTGATGCACATAAGGTGTACATAAGCAGCTGTGTCTGCACCAGATTTTCGAGATTGTTCATAAGATGGCGGACTTTGTCACTGTACAATCTCCCTTCCTGCAGATCCAATAAAGGCAGATCTATTGAACTCCTTCTCTCACGTTGCTGATTCTTAGTTTGGATTCAAACAGAGCAAATATATTTCAAATGAGCAACAACTATTTCTTATCTTGTACAGTGCTAAGGGTTACGGGTTCTGTACACCAAATGCATGAGCAAACGTAATTTTGGAGGAAAATGTAAATATGAAATACATAAATATAATATTTTATATTCAAATATTTTCATAATTATTTGGATATTTTCTACCACGACAGAATATTAAATATTCATTCAACTTTGAACTTACATTCTAATGTTTCATTTTTCCATCCTCCACAGTTCAAAATATTTTTTTTTCAGTTTCTGTCCTAATGTTTAAGAGGGAAGAAGTCAGGCTGAAGGCAGGTTTGCATTCAATGAGAAGGAGGTCAGCGTCCCTGAAGGATCTGGTCCATCTCCTGCTCTTTAGGTTTGTTAAGTCTCTTACCTGGCCTTTTGATCCAAAGAATGACAGCTGCCAGCACAAAGACACACAAAACCACTGCAAGGCTTACTCCAAACATAACCTGTCCTGCAACAGAACAAGATATTATATAAGATATATTTAAAAATAGATTATTTGTTTTTATTTAGTTGGTATGGTTGCAGCTACAGTATGGTGACATTTGCAGTGTCTTGAGGAATCTAGATACAATGTGTAACACCTGGCCTGTGTAGACATTTCCAGTTCTCTGGAGCTTCAAAGTTTGCTGAGATCAGTGATCAAAGATTACCCTCGGTTTACCCTTGGTAGTAGTTAATTAAGATCTAGGTAAATGATGAAGAGAGTCATCAACAGTCTAGGACGCTGCAAAAAAAGCTCTCCAAAGCAGGTAAAAGAAAAACAGACAGAAATGCACAGAGGAGATGGGAGGGCACAGAAAATAAAACGTCTGCCAGGTAAGAGGTCCTTGTCAAGTTCATCTAGAAAGACCAGAAAGGAGTTATATACAGTATTTGAACCTCATCGAGAGAGCTTGCCATTCATACGTTTTTATGAAACTTGGGTTCCTGTTTATACAATCTCTTGGTTAAAAATAGCCTCTCCTCTCTCCATCTTGATTTATAGAGAAATTTAACAGTAGGTTTTTCTGTTGGTTTAGAAGGCAGCTTTACATTAATTTGGCCTTCGCAGGTGTAATGGAGCATTTGAACACTCGGGAGCAGTCTAGGGCTTTCCTAGGTGTGTTCAGGACATAGACCTCTGAGATGCCCTGTCTGTAGGTTTGTACATTGTGTAGCTTGTATGTTGTATGTTTATGTTTGTTATGTGTTTTTTAGTGTGTGCATTGTCATTATTAAAAAATATTTGTTTAACCCAGCGTGCCTAAATTAGTCCTCTTTTTACCAAAGCTGTGCCAGAGAACAAAGAACTCAGGTGCCTCCAATTATACCAACCACTTGGGTACACTCATGACATACAGTATCTTTACATGGTTATTTAATTGACTTATTGACTAACCCACTTGGCCTACTGTATTTCTGATATTCTCTATTTTTGCAACTCTATCTGTAACTATTTTGAAATTGTGTGCTTTTGTTTGGAGAATCCTGGCCCGTCTATAGCTTAAGCCACACCTGGACAACAGGACTGAAATCATTCACTGTGAGAGCTGCTATTGGCTGCGACACTGAGCCAGAAGCCTTCCGTAACATTTAAATATATTTCAATTATTGTGCTGCTGAGCAGCATTTCAACAGCCCAGATTATAGGAACTGAATCTCTTTAATAATGGATAGAAGAGATCACAAGACAACATATTTAAAAGTATTTGCAGGGGCATCCCAATAGATCTAATAGGAAACACAGACCTAAGGAATTGTTGAGACTGAGAGCAGGAGGATTTGTCTTAACCGAAGAACTGTATGAGTAGAGAAACAAGACTTTTCTTTGGATTGAGGCATTGAGTCAATTTCTAAACCTTGCATTCAATTATTGCACTTTAGAGAGTACATTAATAACTATTCATGGGGCAGAGCAGTGGCACTGTGGCTAAGGATCTGCGCCTGTGGCTGGAAGGTTGCCGGTACAAATCCTGTGGCCAGCAGAGGAATCCTACTCCGTTGGACGCCTGAGAAAGGCTCTTAACCCCAACTGCTGCAGGGGTGCCATATAAATGGCTGACACTGTGCTCTGACCCCAAGCTTCTCTCCCTGTCTGTGTGTCTCATGGACAGCAAGCTGGGGTATGTGAAAAGACAAATTCCTAAGGTATGAAATTGTATATGGCCAATAAAGTAATCTTATTATGCTTTTGCTATTACTGTACGTCTGTCTCAAGGTGTCAGATTTGCCACAGAAGTGTCACACACTTGAGTGAGAGGATCTGAGAACATCTTCTGTAACCATCTTGTTGCACTTTAGATCAGTTACTAAAGGGAGTGTTTTTTGTGGTTATTGTTTTTGTGTTTAATTGCACTGTTTCCATTGTGTGCCAATCCTAGCCTTAGGGTGAGCACACGATGGGTAAGTGGATGTATGACCTTTACTAATACAAATATTCAGATACACCCATGAGTGTTATACGCAAGCTTTATTTCCATTGTCAGAGGGACCCTTGAAAACAACTGAATACTCTGTAACCAGGATGTGGTTATTGAGTGTTTGTTGTAAATGTCACTGTCTTCTTTCAGCTTCTGTTTTACAAAAGATCTTTAACCTGATTAAACTACATGAGTAAGTCTTCTAGCTCTAAGTAAAAGTGAAGGATCCTTAAAAGTTATGGTGACCCAGCCTGCTATTGATGAGTATGAGTAGTTCTTTCTTTATTCAATTGATTTATTCACTATAGATATATTAGTTGTTATTTTTTTATTAATACAGAAATCACAGTACTGTAAATGTTCAAAAATCAGAAATCATTTGTTTTCCTGTTCTTCATTTTCACACCATATTAGCTCTTTGATATTTAATGGTAGGTAGTAGAATATGTGAGAGCTGTTAAGGAAACAGCTGTCAAATTTTTCTGTCTCTTCTATGCATAAATGTGTACAGTAAGCAGAAGACACATTGAGATGGACTTTGATGAACTGTCAGTAATGTATTAAGAAGCAGTGTCTGCTTGCTGCCTTGTGACTGATAAAACAATTTTAAAAATGACAGAGACTTTCTGTTCTTTTTATTCTTTTGTGCTTTCGCTGATACTTCCCTGCAGCTGAAGTATTGTGCTTCTCAGATTGTTTGTTTTTCTGCCATCTGTTAGTAAAGTCTTAAATCTGGATTCTCTTTCTTTCATTTCTGAGGCTGAATCTAGACTTTATCTTCTCTACTGGGCTGGATCCAGACAGTAAGATCAACAGCAGTTTTATGAGAGTGAAGCCCCACAGCGTGTCTTGGGCTGGTGTACAATACACCCACAACACAGAGAAGGAACTGTGGGCCTGTACCTCTGACAAACTCCCCTCTCTTCTGCAGATCCTCACAGACGCCTCTTTCCACTCACCTCCAGCTGACTGGGTGGAACTGTCCATGGCTGCTGTCTTAGTAATGTCCATCAGTACAGTCACAGGCATGGAGGTGGACAAGATGGACACTGTCATTGCTGGACAGACAAAGACACATCAGTATTGAGGTCTGATCCGGGATGCAAGTCAGAGAACAATTCAGTGTAATTTTGAATCAAGTTTATGATGAAAGGCCTTCCTGAGAGACCACCATGCTCCCCTTCCCTGAACTCTAAACCACAGGAATGTCTGAGTGCTGTTACACCTCAGACACAGGCTGAAGAGCCTCCTGAGATGGCATGAGTGTCATGTTAGGTAGAAGAACACACTGGAGTGAATGTATTTAAACCTCAACACAGAGTGGAAATCCCACACAATGACTGTCCCTGGTAGCGTACATAAAGACTCTTCACTACCACAGAGCCACACAGTAGGCAGACTGTCTGCTTTCTGAAACATGAAAGGAAGCAAATTTATACTGATCTACATCTCAACAAGAGCATCTGTTTCACTGCTGAAGTGTGTAACAACTACAGTAGCTTCTCTAAACTGTTGAAATCATTCTTTTTGTTTCTGGCGGAATCAAAGTCCTACTTTAGAATGGATCCAAACATCTAATTAGGTGTCTTTGAAAAGAAAGGACTGCCTGCAGAAACCATGAGGCAGTGATGTCATCTGACTTGTTCCGCAAGATATTTTGATTGAATATGCTGAGAGTCTTATTTTCATCATGTTTAACTCTGCAGAACTGAGTATCAGAAAGCTAATAAAAATTACAATCAAGTTTTTAACATACTGCATTAACTGATATGACATGTCGAATGTCTTCTATGGCATGAGAATTTCTACTGCATGAGGAGCCCTAATGGCTGGAAATCACAAATAGCAGTGTGTCAGTTTATTCAAATTCCTCATACAGCTTTCCTTCAATCCAAGCATCAAATCACAAACTGGTAATTAAAATGCAAAGTGAAATCTTACATTGGTTTTTACCTTGTGTATGTTCTGTGACCCTCAGAAGCATTTCTGTGTATTTATCAGGTCCCCATTGCTCCAGTCCACAGTAATACACCCCAGTGTCCTGCAGGGTCAGTCTGCTCATGGTCACAGTGAAGGTCCTGACTGAAATGTTGACAAACAGAGAGAATCTCCCCACAGAGACCACAGTGTCCGTCTTGCCAGTTTTAATGAGAACATCCTTATTCCCACAGGGATGCCGACACCAGTACTTCTCCTTGTACTGATACCCATCTGGATAGTCGCACCGAATCTCTACACTTCCTCCTTCAGATCCACTCACTCTCCTCTCTGCTGACGTCACACAGCCTAGACCTTCAGAGAAAGAAAGTGTCAGGAAAAGACAGCAGCAGTCCAGGGCCCAAGACTGCAAGAAATTGTCAGTTATATAGTGCAGACTCAAAAGGACAAGGAGGACAGCAACCTACGAAGGAAAACCTGTTGATTGTTTCTTTAACAATGCCACATTACAGGTAATAAGCTACTGCAATACTGTCATCATACTCCAAAGAGATGTGATCCCTTTTGACATGTCATAAACTGTATATGTATTACACTGTGAAAGGTCTTTGTCATATTTATTCCTGCTATATTTCTCTACTTTTCTGTATTTTGGTTCAGTGGAGCATTTCTTAGAGGCAAAAGTTGATTGGCTTCTGGGAAAAACCAATTATTTTTGCCTCTAGTCTTTGGAATATGGCAGGACACCGGAGCACCCACAGGAAACCCACATAAACACAGGGTGAACAGACAAACTCCACACAGATAGCATGCTAGGTCAGGAATTGAACCCAGGGCTCCAGCGGAATGTAACGCTAACCACTGCATCAACATATATGGAAATAAGAATACACAGTATATACTAAATGGATGGAAGTATATATACACATTTAATCTCTCATTTTTCTAACTGTATCTAAATATTCCCATGTCCTTTGACAGCCATTCAAGGCAGAGAGGACGAAGGGTGCTGATGATTCAAGCGCTCAAGATATACAGAAATCTGTGCACATTTGAAGTGATAACTTAGTTTGGAAAAAGGAAGCACATTTCAATATGAATGCTCATTTCAGACGTTATGCTAATTGCTTTAGGAGAATTCATTTGACATGAAATGAGGAAATGGCTTTGAAACTCATCCTGCTTTTGAACATCTTAATGTTTTAAGGCGAAAGAATCCGTAAATTATCGGCAGGAGAGTTGAGTCTTCTGGTTTTTAATCCCAGATCTAAATTACTTTATCATGAAGACGGTTTACCTTAATTGATCAAGGTTATTACGGTCTGAGTGAGGTCTGTAAAACCATTTTAGAAGGAGACTTTTTCACGACAGAATGGTATCGAGCCTCTTTGTACACTATTGCTTGTGGATTCAAACCAGAAAAAATATTTTGAGCGTGATCTCAGCGTTCAAAACCGGAATTTATCGCATACTCGTCGAAGAGCAGCGCCTAACTGGGTGACACACAGCAGACATTCAGCGCCAGCAGCCCCACTACCCAGCAGATCAGGCAGAAGAGTAAGACACTCCTTCACCAACTGAAGCAAGACTGGAATTTAACCAGGTGAGCGCTCCAGCTCCTACTGACCTTGACCTTACCGATGCTCACATTAAGAAAGTGTTTTGGTGAGTCGGCGGTAGACACTTCTACCATTTACTTTGAGCTCTTGCGGAGAGGAAGGTGAAAACATCGCAGACAAGTAAACGTTAAAAAATGAAACTAAAGAAACAAACTTCCTCACCTGCCAGGAGACAGACTGTGGGAAGCGCAGCTCTCATTTTGCGCTGCACTTGGGAATGTACATTTCCACCGAGACGTGTCCCGTCTTAGGCACAGTCTTGCTTTGTGATAGGAAATGACGCGGCAGCTTTTTATAAATTGATCCTCGGTCGAGTTGACTCATTGAGATAAATGAGAGAAACGAGCAGGTGCAATCTGTACCTCACCGTGCTTAGTTCCGCGCACTTCACTCTTCGAACTCAAGATGAGCTAAGTCGTATATTAGGTTTCCAGAGCATTAATTTATGTCTCGTAACACGAGTTGTTTTTATCAGATTATGTCTTGAAAATGTGCACAGCTATCATTAAAACCACAGAGCCAATATTGTTCTTAAACAAAAAAAAATCTTCGGGAACTCTGAAGGAAGAATAACATGCCACGTTTAACTATAATTGTATTTATTAATAATTATATTGTTATGATATGATCAATTGCTTCAGAAAAGAAGGACATTGGGGTTGTATCTTTTATACGCCTGTGCCTAAATTTCTAATTGGTCCTGCAATACTATTAAAGTTTAAATCACAAGAACATGCGATTTTATTTTAGAAGCAAAGCGTTTAGTAAGGTTTGGTGTTTCTCAGATGCCTTCTTCGGGGTGTACACCTCGAAAAGAAGAACTTAGCATGATTTACAACATCGTATAATCTATCCAAAAGCCTACGGCAGAGGGCGAGGAAAGCGATTGGCGCTTATCAGCCTGATTCCCAAGTTTGTAAAAGAGAAATGTTAATAAAAAAGAGTGAAGGAATGAATTTTCCACTTTTCCATGCAACATGTCATTTCCGTCTCTTCATTGAGACATTAATGCGTATTGTCCAGAGCTGGAAGTTTTGCAGTCCATCCGTTCATTTTCAGAAATAGCTGTATCCGTAGACAGCTGCAATGAGCTCAAGACTACTCCAGCAACAAAAAAATAATAATTTTGTGGAGAACAGAGAACTTTCCGCCAGAGGAATCCAGACTGAGAAAGAAAGAGCACCAGATTTCAAGCCTCTAATTCTGTCAAATATGTACTGGCAACGGATGATAGAAAATAAATCATACTGTTGCACTATATACAAACTGAAATTGTTAAATGTCTAAGATTTTATACCCGTTTTCTAGATGACTCAAGATTTCAATATTTTTCTTTTCTCTTTACACGATGTGTTAGGTTGAACAGAGGGGCGGAGAGATGGCTCTGTGGCTAAGGATGTGCGCCTGTGACTGGAAAGTTACTGGTTCAAATCTTGCGGCCGGCAGAGGAATCCTACTCCGTTGGGCCCCTGAGCAAGGCCCTTAACCCCAAGCTCCAGGGGCGCCGTACAATGGCAGACCCTGCGCTCTGACCCCAAGCTTCTCTCCATGTCTGTGTCTCTCCATGGAGAAAAGCTGGGGTATGCGAAAAGACAAATTCCTAATGCAAGAAATTGTAGAGGGCTAATAAAGAAACATTATTATTATTACAGATCGGGGAGGTTCCGGCATTTCAGGATAGCTGTCATGCTTGATTCCACCCACACGAGGGCGCCAGTAACCATGAAATGGGCAGCCCGCAGTACACAATGGGAAGGTAATTAGCGCACAGGAAGAAATCCCTGAGAAACTGCGTGCAGAAAGAGTAGGGAAGCAGAGTCTGTTGAGGGAGAAGGGCAAGAAGACGACGCCGAGGTGTCTGAAGTCCTGTAAACGGCCTCAGTTAGGGCCTGCTGCAGAGAGAAGCAGGACTCTGAAGATCAGTTAGTATTAGGCTAACCCATCCAGAAGGAACAAAACAGGGACGGAATTTGCACAGGAATTTCCCAGTTCCGTTCAGTTTATTGTCATATGCACAAGTGGAATTAACCGCTAATTTGCAGGTATGTTCCAATACAAAGACATCATAGGAAAAAACAAACACAGAACAGCAGCAACAACAACAAGTTAAATAACATACAACTTAGAAAAACAACATCAGTGTGAGTCAGTGGTAGGGGTTCAGTAATCTGCTTGTGGGGAGAAACTGTCTCTGAATCTGGACGTTCGTGCCTTTATGCTCCTGTAATGCTTACCAGAGGGAAACCAGGATGACTGGTAACCTTAGCAATACTTCCACCCTTCCTGAGGCGGCGAGTTATAAAAATGTCTGAAACAGAGGGGAGCTGTACCGCAGTGTTGGACTGGGCTGACCTGATCACCCCGTGTAACGCCTTCCGATCAGACAATGAGCTGCTGCCAAACAACACTCTCAATACCGCACCTGGAAAATGTGGTAAGGACAGTTGAAGAAAGACCATTTCATTTTTTTCAGCCGTCCTGTTGAGGCGTAATTTGATCCGTTTATTAACCCTCCTCCCAAATGAAGAGGTGCTTTCAGTTAAAACAGACAATGGAATCCAGGTTCATGGATGGATGTCCATGGTTTTCATGGACGGGATTTTAGAATCCCGGGTTTATAGGAACATAAAAATCCTCAGTGGTTAAAGAGTTGGAAAATTTGCATGTCCACAATAAATAAAATCCAGAAATGAGGATCGTTGTATTATCATATCATTACTCACTTGTTTCGCCTACACTTAACGTTTCGTTACATACTTAACCCTGATAATCACTGAAACCAACGGGCGAACCACACAAAAAAGTGAATTTACAAGTATACAAGAGCCGAATGCTTTTACCTAGTCTGATCCTCCTTTGATGATGGTTGGTTATTAAATAACGCATCGAAGCCACACTTGAGCAACCTTTTTCTTCACTCTTCATTGCTGTAAAAAGAATTGCAACGACTTTCACAGTTCCACAGTTCGCAGCAAGGATTGTGGCTTTGCAGAGCGCGTCGATTTTCGACCTCCGAAAGTAGATACATTAGCAGTTTCCTTTTCAGCTGTGTGGTTAGATTTTTGACTTCAGGTAACTTGGTAACCCCTTTCATCTGAGAATGTGGTGACTTTAGTTTTCAAAACCGATCAGCAATGTTTAAAGATGCCTTAGCAAAAATACTCCGGTTTTGTTTCTCGTAAGCACATTTCATTCACTCCTTCAATTCGTCTCCATGTGTGGCACCTGATCCGCATGTCCGTGGTGTTTAAGAGCCTTTCTTTCGAAATGTGTGCGGGATGGTATCAGGTGGACTGGCTGGTGATTCGAGCTGCCGAGTGCGACACTGTGCCACCGGCTGGACTCTGCTCATGTGGTCACTGGAGACCCGGGGCAGCGCCGGCCGTCAGTCACTGATCTCAGTGGAGCGCTGTCGCCCCCTAGTGGTCATTGACCACACTGAGGTCTTCCGCCTGTGGTGGCAGAGGGAGAGTTCAGTACAATTCTCTAGACACGACAGACTTTACAAGTGAAACTGATGCTTCTAATGGCAAGGATGCTTTTCTCTACATCCCAGTTTTATACTACATTATATATATGCCTTGCCAGTATTTTATGTGGAAATCAATATCTGTTCATTTTCAATAACTGCTTCGTCTGGTACCAGGTGGCTGTGAGCCAGGGCCGAACCCAGGCAGGGTACACTCTGGAGGAGACACCAGTCCTTTACAGGGCTCACACACACATACAGGAGATAATCTAGACATGTCACGTAACCAGCTAACACAGAAGGACACCCGGAGAAAACCCACATGCCTGCATAGAGAAGACACCTAGGGGACCCGGGACAGAGAGTCCTCACCTGTAGGAGTGTGTGGTCACAGTGCAGGCCCAGTTTAGTGGGCTGTGATGAAGGAGTAGACCTCACTGTCCTCGGGTGTGTCGACAGGCAGCTGTGCGAGGGAGTAGAGTCCCTGGCTGTCCTCCTCCTGATGGTACGACACGCTGTAGTACACCGAGGACAGGGGCCTGGCGCCTCCTGCGTCAATCTCTTCATACACTCCCGGGGCCACGTCTTCACTCTGCGTCAGAGGGGCACACTGTTGGTTTCCAGTGAGCAAGCGGACCCACGGGCTGCAGCTGTTGGGCCTCTGCTGCTTGTTTTGTGTGCGATGCTCTGTCGCCAGCAAGGAGGCCTGCAGCTGTTCCTGCTTCTTTTTCATGAACACATACTGCTAAATCCAGGAACAGGTAAAGGGTTATTCCACGCTCAAGGGAAAGGAAAATGTTTGCACTGTGGCGCCTTCTTCAGGAGTCCACATTGGTGTCCGGCCGAAATATTGTGTTCCTTTTCTGCTCTTTTCAGCATGGAATAAACCTTCACCTGTTCCTTTGTAGCCTCTGCATGTTGATGCAGTTCCCTACTTGAACTTTTGACAAACCCAGGCTGATTAGAGCTCTGCAATTCTTGTTTTTCATCCTATTCTTGTATTTTATTGGTTATTTGCTTGGTTTTTCCTAGTCCCTGTAAGTGGTACAGTATGCGGCTGCTGTAATTTCCTGTTTGAAAAAGAATGGCCCTTCCTGTCACTGGCTTTGTGTGATGTTTCGCTGGTCAGCTTGAGTAAGTGAGAATACCATTGTTTACCATCATGAAATCATAATGGAATCAGTTTTTTAAACTTCAAGTGCATTGGGATTTTGGAAGTGTATCGCAAAGCCAGGGCAAATTTTCTGCACTGTAGCAGGTAAAGTCAATAAGCCATCCAGAGCTGGGCTAAGCCAGGCAGGGACGAGATGGATGTTGGAGTGACCTCTGCTGGGAGGAAGAGGAACCGCACCTACGAGAACTGTAATGCTGTGCAAGATGCAACTTCTCAGTCACAACTGGCGAATTGTCACCCAAGTTTTTAATTGAAGACTACAGGGATCCATTCTCCAAGCCCTCATCTTTACCTTTATAGCTGCTCAGGAGTTCACTCAAAAGTCTCTTTTACCTGCAGACTATAGCAGCTGTCATTTTTTTGTATGGTATAGTGGTAGAAATCCATGTCTTTGTGTTGTTTTCCTGTGCTGTCTGTCCCAGCACCTCCTCTGCCTCTACACCTGTGGGGCTCCTAGATGTAAATCAACATGTTGGCTCACAGTTCTCTGATCACCTGATCCCAGCAGGTGTCCTGTCAGTCCAGTGACAGCTTCACTGCAGCAGCTCACAGCCACAGAGGAGGGGTCAGTCACAGGCTCTGCTGCAGCTCCCTATTTGAACTTCTGACAAACCCAGGCTGATTTCATTGTTCATTTCACTGCTTTTTCCTAATACCTTTGAGTGGCCCTTTGAAAGGTACAATATGCAGCTGCTGTAATTTCCTGCTTGAGAAAGAAAGGCTCTTCCTGTCACTGGCTTTGTGTGATGTTTCACTGGTCAGCCTGTGAGAAAACAGGAGCTCAGCTGCTGTCCTCCCACGTTACAGAGCACAAGGGCCTAGCTTTGTGTGAGACAGGTGGAGGCAAGATTCTGCTTACCTGCTCTGTACCTGTAGCTCCATTCCTGACAGTGGGTTTCTTATCTAGTGAGAAGAAGGAGGCTCGTCATCAATCGGATCAAAGGCAATCGAGAATAGCCTTGCTTACTATCATCAAAGCACGGTGAAATTAGTTTTTTAATTCTTAAAGTATTAAATAATTAAAGTATTTAGGGACTTCAATAATGATTTTCTGCAAAAGGTCTGTAAATATCTACTGGAAGCATTTTGGAGAACTCCAACAATATCAGTGGGGATTATGAACTCCACTGTAGTGAGCAGAGGCAATGTGCTTTCCACAGCTGAGCTAAGCCCGGCAGAGACCAGATGGAGCGTTAGAGTGACCTCTGCTGGTAGGAAGAGGAAGCGCACCTACGAGTAATGCTGTATAAGCAAGACGGAGCTTCTCAGTCACAACTGGCGAATTACTGAAGAAGCTTACACCTGAAAACGACTCCACGGCCGAAACGTTGTGTTTTTTTAATTCTTTTTTTCAGCATGGAATAAACCTATTACTTGTTCCTTTGCAGCCTACGCATGCTGATGCAGCTAACCACCTGAACTACTGGCGAATTGTGTCACCCAAGACTTTAATTAAGGACTTCAGAGATCCATTCTCCAAGCCCTCACCTTTACCCTTTACACTGCTCAGGAGTTCCCCCAAAAGTATCTCTTTCACCCGTGGGCTGTAGCAGTTGTCATTCTCTGTACTGTATAATGGCAGAAATCCATGTCTTTGATTGTCTTGTGATTTTATCCTGCCTGTCCCAGCACCTCCTCTACCTCTACACCTGTGGGGCTCCTAGATTTAAATCAACATGTTGACTCACAGTTCCCTGATCACCTGATCCCAGCAGGTGTCCTGTCAGTCCAGTAACAGCTTCACTGCAGCAGCTCACAGTCACAGAGGAGGGGTCAGTCACAGGCTACTGAGTCTGGAGAGAGCAGCTCTGCTGCAGCTCTGTCCAGCACAGCCCAGCCCTGGGCAACAGTGCTCTGCTGAGCTTCACTGATGGGCCAGCTGGAGGAGACTTACCCAGGGAGCGTGTGGCTCTCTTCTGTCTCTGTCTCACAAGAATGAAAACGGCCACCAGGAGCAAAAGTGCCATTACTCCAAGAGCTGCTCCAATCAGAGACTTTGCATCTAAAAATAAATAAACAGGCCTTTTAAACACCAGAATATGCATTTGCTGATACTGAATATGTCCAAAATTCACTCCAGGTCACTGTGCCTTCCATTCATTGAAGAATATGGGAATCATTTTTAGGTGGTGCAGTGATATAGCAGTTTGCTATTGGTTCACGTTTCTTGGGTCCTGGGTTCGATTCTAGACAGGGGAGCCTTTTGTAGGGAGTTTGCATGTTCTCGTCGTGTTAATATGTTTTTTTTCTGGGTGCTCTGGTCTCCTCCCACATTCCAAAGACATGCTGGTGAGGTTAACTGGTGTCTCTCAGTTGTTCCTGTGTGTGTGTGCTCCTTATAATGGACTGACATCGCAACAAATGTGCAGTATGGGGATTGGCTACAGATTGGAATGACCCTTACTGGGGCTAAGCAGCTTTCAGATGATGGGTGACCTATTTTTAAAGGAGAGTAACACTTTCTTTTAAGAACTCGTGCTCTCTTGTGGTACTAAGGCAGCAAAATCCAAGGTAGGAACGTTTCAGTTAAACTCAGTTTTTCATAGCCATTCAGTCTTATTTTGCCATTTCTCCCCAGGGTTAAAAAGAAGAAGGAAGTGGTTTTGTGTTTAAGTCCACAGGGGACAAATGACATCATATAGGCTGGAAATAAGACCGTTACTCCTGACAAGCAACAGGAAGTTCAGCTGAGGTCAGCACAGCCACTGAATTGCTTATTATTCATGAGGCTTCTTTCTGTCCTGTGTGTCTGTTCCTGTTTTAGTTCAGAATCGGATTAGGAATCCAGAATGCGCTTGCTTTCAAGTTCTTACCAGAGCTTACAAAAGAAAAACAAAGAGTTTGTGGCTCCAAAATATTACCGTTGTGGTCTTGCTTCGAGATGTCCGTGTGGTTTGTAGCTGCCATACTGAGAGAGTCATTTTTGCCACCTTAGAGAAATATGAGGAAAAATAAAAATGTTGCCCCAGACCAGTCTTTCTCATTTTTTAAGATATGTATACCTCAATAGCCACCTCCCATTTTATACTGGATGATGGTGAAGGCATTAAAATCATACACTTGGTCTTCTTTTGTCTGTGGAGTTGTTGATAAATGGCAGCACTTTATAAGCCACCTCTTCAATTTTCTAATGAAGAAGCAGCGGACCTCAGTCTGTTAAACAGCAGGTTTGTCAATGACAATAAAACTGAAACCAATCTACTCTTGTGCAGCTGAACAGTGCTGGAATTCCGAAAACAGGACTGAGGAGATATTGTTTTTTCAGTGTTCAAACACAGATCACACTCCATCTAAATTAGCTAAACTGTATTCACTATCATACAGGTACACTAGGACTATACTGGTTTCTGTTATCAGTAAAAGGTCATATTGAGGCATCATCTTTAAAAATAGCCCCTTCCTGTGGATGTCCTGGCTCTTGAGCTGAGTGCTGTAAGCAAGTATTTGTAGAAGTCTAAGGGGGAAGCACTGATTTTGGGCTAGATAGTAGAGCTCTTGTTTCAGTGATTTTGGTTGTGGTTTTAATATAATTTCTTAGGTTTTCTTTTAGAGACATCCATCAATCAATTTTCTAACTGCTTTCTAACTTGCAGGGGAGCCAGAACCTATCCCAGCAAGCAGTGGGTGCAAGTCAGAGTACACTCTGGACAGGACACTAGTCCATCGCAGACATGAATACACTCACACCAGGTTTTCCACAGAAGCCAATTAACCTAACGATATGTCTTTGGACTATGGGAGGAAACCCACGCAAAATGCCAAGCAATTCTAAACACTGTTCTACCAAGCTGCTCAATGATATATATAAAATATTTATAAAACATCTACTGTAGTCCATGTTGTGGCAAAACTGGAAAATACTCTTAAGGAATACTTGGGAACCCTCAGGAACCTGCACATGTGTAATGAAGGTACTTAACATGCAATAGGAAGAATTAAGAAAAATCTATTAGAGTTCAATCCTTTGTAAGACTATTACATGCTGCAGGACTGGTATCTGTATTGTCAGGGAGAGTCTGGCTATAAATAGGTCATGAACAGGAAATGATGTTAAGAGACCTATAGTTTGTCTCTTTACCAGCAGTGTGCTGTTGTGGATCAGAAGTACCGACTAAACCACAGACCTCAAAACATAGTTTCAAACCTCTGCTTCCTATGTGTCAGACAGACCTGTAGTGCTGCTGGCTGTGTCCTGGCTGGAGCTGGCTGTCAGCGCTGTGGCAGTGACCTCCTCTGTCACAGTCCCTGGAGCTGAGGGGGTCACTGTGGGGACTGCAGGAGCTGAGGAGACAGACGGAGGCATCAGAGTGGGAGTCAAGACCAGGTTTTCCCAGTCCTGGTCCTGGAGGCCCAGACACCTTAAATAAGTTGATTTTACTGCAACATTTCCATGTTTTTTTTTTCTCATAAAATGTTTGGAATTTTATTTAAATGCAATAGTTGAAAGGCACCAATTCAAATTAATCATGTTATTAAATCAGTGAAGGATTCAATTGTTTAACTGAGAGCTGGGCAGGAACAAAACCCAGGAGATGTGGGCCAGCACTGGGACCCCTGGACCAGAGAGACTCATCGAGACAGAATCAGAGGACTCCAGGAGATATTTTTAATGTAATGTTGTGAAAAGGTGGTACTTGGCTTCCTGATGTTCCCCCAAAATGCAACTGGGAATGACCAGTTGTCCAGTCACATGATCATATGGTGGAAGACAATTGGTCAAGTGGCATTTAAAACCAGGAAGCAAAGCCTTCCAGGGGCTTAGTGACCTCTACTAGCGTGGATGTTAGCAGAGATTCTGTTATGTGTTGCACCTGGTATAGAAATGAGCAGAGAAGGATGAGCTAGTGAAGATTTTTTTTTGGGAAGAGACCCAGAGAAAGACAATAAAAGCAGTTTAGCTGTCCAGCTGTCCAGCTGTGTTTTAAAGGGAGACTGAAGCAGTACAGTTAGAGCTCAAAAGACTTTCTCTAGTGCTATCCTGTGTGCATCAGATCATGAGGCTCTCTGGCAGGCACTGTTCAACTAATCAGAAAGTACACACAGTTATCAAAGAATGTAGACATTAGTCCATAGTTTTGACCTTGACCTACATAAAATGTGCAGATTGACATTAAACACAACATGAGAAAGGCTCAATCAGGGGGTTTAAAATGCTGGTTCCAGAGAACTGCAACCCAGCAGGTATGTAGATCGCTATTAAATCACTGATTTATGAAGATATGGAATAATTACAACATATTGCAAACAAACAGGAGATTTTTTTCAAATTAAGTGAGGTCATGAAGATCTAAAATCAACACACTCTTTAGCCTTCAATGACAGAGTACTCTTTGAACAGATTAATTGCTTGATTTGTCAATAGCTTACATTATGAACAGTTCCCTTTCCTAATTCTTCAAATGATTGTATCAATCACTCCAATACCTGGCTTGGACTCTGATCTAATGATAAACTACTCATTTCTATCTACGGTTTTAGAACATGTGGTACCGTGTCAGTAATAGATTCCAATGATAGCTAATGATCTGTTTGAACCTTTCCCCTCTGTTTTTCATTCTAATCATGGCACCAACACTGCTCTTGTCAGGGTTTTGAATGATTTGCTTGTTGCGCCTGACTTGAGGAGCTAAAAGTAATCTTATGCTCTGTGCTCTTTTTTTTTTCTACAGCAAATCTTTCAGTGTTGCCCAAGTGCTTATAGACACTCTCTTCAATTGCACTGTTTTTAACTGCTCATGCTCATTCAGACTGGCAGGCAGCATTTTTAAATTCTGAAATCCCCCCTTGGCCCCAGTCAGTCATGGTGTGCTGCAGGGTTCAGTCTTTGGCACATTGCTTTTTATTTGCATTCTATCTCTGGGTCAGATTATACACAAACACGGTTTTCAGTTTTACATTGTTTTACAGCTGATACTCAGATATATGTTAAAACCTCTTCCCACCTCTGTCACTTATCTCTAAATCTGTGAACCATCAAGCTCAGGTTGACATCAAGCTCTGTGAAGCTAAATGGTGACAAAACCATTATTGGTGGGCAGCAAAGGTCAATTGGAAAAACTGGAGAGTTTCACAGTAATGGTGGATGGCTTCCCCATTCAAGAGTCAGCCATAGTCGGGAATCTGGGAGTCACTCTTGATCCTCTTCTGTCTTTTGACAGGAGATTCCACATGGAATTGGACCTACAGGACCAACTCTAATTGTTTTGCTCTTGATAAAGGTTTGTGAAGGAACAGGAGTCAAAAACTCTAGGAAGCTGACAGCATCTAATCCAAAGATGTAAAACAAGATTGGGTGAAATAATTGCAACCAAAGAAATATGAAGTATTAATCCAATGTTGTTGATTATTTTTGTGCAATTTTTGGTTTTGGTGCTATGGGATAATCTGATATACTGTAAGAATATTATTATTTTATTATTAGGTTAAGACTGAAAATGTCACAGCACAGTAGATCTTGGATTTTACCATAGCTTTAGTTTAGTATGTTGATGTTTTAGTCAAATAATTTGTGAATAAAAATTAGATATGATTTAATTTCTTTTTTTATAGTTAAATTGTAATAGGTTGCAAATGAGGACCTACCTTTCCTGACTCTCAGATCTATTTTTGAGAGTCTGTCAGTCCCCCATTGCTCCAGTCCACAGTAATACACCCCAGTGTCCTGCAGGGTCAGTCTGCTCATGGTCACAGTGAAGGTCCTGGATGAGACGTTGTCAAAGAGAGAGAATCTCCCCACAGAGACCACAGTGTCCGTCTTGCCAGTTTTAATGAGAACATCCTTATTCCCACAGGGATGCCGACACCAGTACTTCTTCTTGTACTGATACCCATCTGGATAGTTGCACTTAATCTCTACACTTTCTCCTTCAGATCCATTCACTCTCCTCTCTGCTGACATCACACAGCCTAGAACTTCAGAGAAAGAAAGTGTCAGAAAAAAAACAGCAGACCAGAGTCACAGTCTCCCAGGAGGCAGTCAGATTGTCAGAATAACCTCTAGGAATCTCAGCCAAACAGTCAGCAACTTGACCCTCCCAATAAAATGTTCTCTGGATAATAAAATGATGGGAGTGTATTTGGAATCATGGGAACTTAGAAAACTAAGTGTCACGATTATAGTCCCCCCTCCTTAAGGCTGCTCCAGCCCTTTCACTAAAGACTTTATTCGGTGCACCTGTTTCCCATTCGCAGCCCACCTTAAAAGCCAGGCGCTGATGCTCATCCGGGCTCTGCATCTGATTTCCATATCGTGCGAGTCCGGGACCTGGAAGCGCCTGGTCCCGGTCCCGGTCCCGGTCCCGGTCCGCCGGTTCCGACCCGGCCTTCGTGGTTTTAATTCCCTTCTTTTGATGGATCTCCTGGTTTTGGACTTACTCATGTGTTTTTGGATACTCTAAGGATTACTCTCTGGGATTGTTCGCCTCGGCCACGCCTCCGTGCACCAGCGCACCTTGGACACGCCCCCCTGTCTTCAGCCCCGTTTTCCTGCATGACGTTTCCCTAGTGTTTCCCCACTCCGTCGGACTGTGTCGTCCGCATAGGGTCCGGAAAGAACTGTTCGTTACACTAAGGATGCCCATTCATTTTTATAATGACGATTCTACCAGATACCGCAGTGTATAGGGGAGGTCAAATCAGAATTCATTTTTTAATGTAGTTGTGCTCTTTAAAGCACACTAATATTGTGTAAAGAGACCCAAATTGGTGCAGTATGTTACCAAGGAGACGTGTCAGAGAAACAGAACTGAAAATATCATTTCACTGTGATAGGACTGGAGGTAGCGATTGTGGAAATCTGTAAAGTTTAAGTAGACACGGTCTGCATATTTACTGTTCTGTAATTATGATAATCATAAGTATGATATTTTACAATGGGAGCTTCCAGTTCTCCACATCATTTGCTTTAAAAAGGCATACAGTGCCTTGCAGACCCTTCCTCTGGTGCCTCTTTTTGTGAAATTACAAAATAATGCAACATCTCTTAATGCACAAACTGAAGACCTCTAGGGGTAATATGAGATCACAGTTAATATAGGCAAAATATATATATACAGTATATTAATATAAAGAAAAAAATAATATATATGAAATGTATACAAAACATGAACAAATCCTAATTTAAAGTGTCATGACTGCAAGCATTGAAGCTTCTTCAAGGAACTGTAAGTCACTTTAAAGCCAATTGACAAACTGTATAGATTCTGGCAAGTGACACTCAGATAGTTCCCTCCTTACTTTTCTATTTGTAAATGTATGTCATTTTAAAAGTGAAAATAAAATCCATTTCAGTAGGTACACAGCTTTTTAGATACACCCGACAATGAGACATGCCAGCCTCAGAAACCTAAAATTACATGTATTTGATACTATAAACCTCTGACTGTTCTTCTCAGATTGCTTTCCTCCGTTTATATATGAATTAAGTATGCATTTGTCCTTACTTATATAAATCATTTTGATGTATAATTCAGTTGCTTAAAGTTTTAAACTGAAGATTTTAGTGTCCCTGAGATCATCCAGCACTTGCTTTGTTCTCCAGATTTCTGCAAACATAATCGTATACTTCTTCGACCTTTTTGTTAATACGATTTAAAAGGAGCACTGCACACCACGCTGTGAGCTGGTGTTCTGATTAGTGTTGGATTTAGTGCTTATCAAAAAACCCCACAATATTTAACAAGCTACCACAGCAGGCTGCAGCTGCGATCAGAGCGTTGCATCCAGAAACTACAAGAGTTGCATCAGTAAGCCTCAGTTGCTATTTTCTACTTGTCCCTTTTTTCAATCAGTGGAAAAAAATGAGGTCAGTTAGCTATGGAAATCTGTGCTGATGTAGGAGGACAGTGAAGTTGGACTCACCAGTGACGAGAGTGAGAGTATGCACAGAAGATTTCATGTTCAGCATGTTCAGCTTTTCGGTAACAGAGTCTCCTCAGCTGCTTCCTTTCAGTTCAGACTAGGAAACGAGCTCACGCTTTTTTAAGAGACTCCGCACTGGTGTGTCTCACACTGTCTCACTCAGAGAAGCTGCTCAACGTAATGAACCAGCCACATGGAGGCGGAAAACACTCCAAATCTGACTCGATCTGCTGTTTGACCTGTACTGCCCTCAATACCATTAAACCACCCAAATCACTTTTTAAAATTTCTTCTGGGATATACAATATCTTGCAAGATCTTTTCCTAACTCTTTTTCCAGTGATGCTCACAGCACAAGACTAAACTGTCCTTCTGATTGATTGAGTGTAAAGTGTTATTTTAAACATTTGACTGGCATTTCTCTTTCATTTTTAATTCTCTACCATCCTTTCATCTAGACATTTCAAAAACAATCTACATTTGAGCCCAAATTGCCCCTAGGTCTGCTAGCCTCATTCTGAAATGTCCCCTTGTTGAATTTCTTCAGTATAGATCCTTTATAGGGTATAGACTTTACCCTCTCGGTCTCCAGTATGCTGCCTCTGTTCACCACAAGAGAGATCCACTTCCTTTTTGCAAAAGGCTTGCAGAAGAAGCCAGCTCTCTTTCAGCATGCAGTGTAAGATGATATGCATGAATATAGTTCCTAAAACTTTAAATGAGGGAACATATTACATTCTGTAATTGTTTTAATAGATAGCTCTTGCCTTACTAATACGCACCATTTGTCACTATCATATTTTGCCCAATCATGAGCTTTTACAGTACTTACACCCAGTGCTGAGCACCAATCTACATGATTCTGGTGTTTGTGCCTCCTCTGTTGTATGCTTGGTGTTGTACAGTATGGCTTTTACTTTGCAGTGTCAAAGAGGTGCATTGCACTGAAGCTGGGTTCTGCATGTATAACCTAGAGTACATAACAGAATAGACCACAGGAAAAAGTACAAGACTAAATCTCCTTTATTATGTATTTTATGTATTGATTACTTTTTTAGTGCTGAAGCATATTATATTCTCCCCGTGATTTTATATGTGGACAGCAGAAACTGCAGGGTGGCTTGAGTACAAAAAAAAGAGGGGGAAACTAAAACTCCGGTCGGGAATTCAAGGAAGGAAGGAAGGAAACTGATCAGACAATGGAGACACAGTCTGGAAACAGCCTTGCCCTCGAGATGAAGTGGAAGAAATCTAAATGCCACAGCCGCACAAAAGACATACCATAGGCTCCGCATCAGCTCATCAATTAAGGATGTAGGATTTTGACAGCCCAGACATCTTCTTTAAAATCAAATGTATAAAGATTCCTCTTGCTGGATGGTGCTTTTGTATGGGAGTGAGGATGCCATGGGCTTTGTTTTTTAGTCTTAGATCCTGGAAGCACATACTGTACATGTGAATATGAGAAGAATATGAGCGACAAAAGCTCTCCAGCTGTAGAACACTGACCACTTCTGAGGGGGTGGGGGAATTATTTCTGTGCCTTTGTATCTGGGTTTCCTTTTTGAATCTTCAAAGTTTATTTTGCTGGCTTTGGAAAACAGGAACAGGAAAAAAGCCCTGTAGGTTTTCTTCTGGTATTTTGGGTGGTTTGTACTCGGCAGAGGGGCAGGGCAGGGCTGGTTAGTGCTACTGCCTCACAGACCTGGGTACTCCACTTTCCCCCCTCCTATGAAAGACATGCTGGATATATTAACTGGTCTCTCTCCATTGACCCTGTGTGTGAGCTCTCTCCAGAGGACCAGTATCCTGTACAGAGTCTAGTCCTGGCTTGCTGTAACCCTCAGCAGGAATAAACAAGAAAGAAAGAATATTTTTTTTTAATCCCAGCATGCTTTATCCAAGATGGACTTGCCATTTAACAGCGTGGGTGCAGGGACACTGCAGAATCTTGTTTTCTCAAAAGGAATGAAAAGAAGTCAGGAGATACATATTGTAATGCTCCAGGGTTCACATGGGTACAGTATGTACTATCGTCTCTGCCACCTCAGGTCGGCCCCCCACTGTCAGGCACTAGAACCCAGGACTCCGGCATCACTCAACAGGGACCCAGCCACTTGAGCTAAAGGGAAATCTCCCATCAGCCCAGCGGCTGTGGTCCCTGCTATTCACAGGGAAGGGCGGTGACGTCACCGCACTGGTAAGCCGGCTCTCACAAACAATGGAGGCTGTATGTGTTACAATATGTAATAATTTCTACGGAATCACTGGGTTAAGGGGAATTGGCCAAATACCCTTTCGGGTATTTTGACAGTATCTTCGAGTATCTTTTTTCAAGTATCGTTTTGAGAATCGTTCGAGGATACTAATGTCAGGAAGTTCACAGGACAGATGAGCAGTTTATTGTCCTGCTGTCTATGTTAGCTTTCTCTTTTTTTTAACAGACCTGAACTAATCTGTATTTGCAGGTACAGTATCATTGTCTAGTGCACAGTGCGGCTCTGATTTACTCTCCACTTCCAGAGCAGCACAGATTGGAACAAGGATACATTTGGAACAAGGATTATTTGTTTGGACAAGGCATTGTAGGGCTGGGCAAAATTTTCATTGGTAATGGAAATTTACTCACAGATTTACCCACTTCCACTTTAAAACATTATTTTCTTGGAATTTTCAACAATCTTAGTTGTCTTGGAAACATTTTTGTATTTTGTTTTATTTATGTGCAGCTTTTTGTTTAGTTTAGAGGATCTAACTCTCCATTACTGAAGCAATACTCATTTCTAAATACATTTCCTACCTCTTCCTTCTTTATCCACATTTCTACTTCTCAATTTCAGTTCGCCCTCTATAATTTTAGCTTTTGATTTTCCATCTCTTCCCACAAAAATCTATTTGAAAAAAAGATTAAAATCGAGAATCTCTGATCTTCCTGTCTTCCTGTGTGAGAAGAGGGAGAGGGCGTGCTGCTTTCATACAAGGAATAAATTGAGAATTATTTCAGGGACTGATGTTTGTTACAGTAGTGGGTAATGGAAATTCTGCCCTTTTAAGGGAGTCCCATTGCCCCTCTTAACCCAAGGGTGCCCAGTTCTCGTCCTGGAGGGTCTGTGTATCTAACGGCTGTTAATCTGTTAACCATGTCGAATTAAGTCAATAGTGAGCTGATTCAGGTTATTAATTGCCTGCATGGACAGAAAACGTATAGACACAATGTCTCTCCTTGACCAGTTTTGGGGACTTTTGCTTGGTCCATTTAGTAATATAGCTTAGTTTGTAGTTTGTAGACTTACACGGATACAGCATTTTCAAAAAGAGTACATTTTTATCTTCCACCGTTTGTCATGCTGGTTTAATCTAAGCTGTGACAAAATACTAAGATAAGTAAACCACGGGAACATTCAGAACATTCAGAATGCAATATGGCATATTTAATACACTCCAGCGATACGGTTGTATAAAAGAGAATGACGTGCAAAGACCTGGTAGTCTGGTCTACCCTGCCGATACTGTTACCACGACAACGCTCACCAGGAGTAAGCGGTTAGAAGATTATGATGGTGGTGTTGGTGGTGTGACGATGGAGGATGAGTCTTTCACTTTGCACATAATTGTGTCATTTGTGGCTCTGAAAGGACGCGGCGAGGTGAAAAAGCTGCGTTTGACTGAGAGCTCACAAGCAGGTCTCGGGCACCAGCGACAACAAAAGGGGAGGCGGAAGGGAGCCAAAAAGAAAAAGAAAGATAAAAAATAACCCAACACTAAGGGCTGCAGAGCGGCAGTCACAAAGAACAAAGAAAGCGCTGAATATGATTAAGCGCAAAACTGTAGAGGAAAAAAGAGAAGTTGCGAAAAGAAGCTACAAAGTAGCAATGGCGCAGTAGCTCAGGTGAGGACAGGACCTGAGTGAACGGCGAGGGACGTATTTAAAGAAAATTGGAACCAATAAATAAGAAATGAATTAACTGCCTGCTGGGAAAGTCTGCCCCAGCGTGTTCTAACAGCGTGTGTGTGCGGGACCGATCACCTGCGCTTGTTCCGGCATGTCAGGGTCTTGTTGCCTTGACATTGTGTGTCTGCCCAGAGATCACTATTACTTTTAAAAGGGGTCGTCAAACTGACATTCCAAAACTACATTTCATTTGAAAAACATTTTGAAAAAATGTTTCCCTAATCGTTCCACTTTGTTTGGATTTGCAACTTTAAAATGAAATTCAAACACAGCATTTTGAAATCCAAATCCTGATCCAAATCCAAATCCAAATTTCAAGAAACAGCTGAATGAAATCCTGGGATCAATTAACTACTGTCTATCTAACTGGCTAGATGGGCCAAATGGGCTTTTCTCATCTGTAACCTTTTTTAGGTTCTTGAAGGTCCAGGGCACAGTTTGTCTGGACACAAATGCTGCTCTTAATTCTTTAAGATGAGATAAGAGCACTTTATTGGCCATATACAATTTCTTGTATTAGGAATTTGTCTTTTCACATACCCCAACTTGCACTCCATGAGACACACAGACAGGAGAGAGGAGAGAGGAGAGGAGAGAAGCTTGGGGTCAGAGCTCAGGGTCAGCCATTTACACAGCACCCCTGGAGCAGTTATTGTTAAGGGCCTTGCTCAGGGGCCCAACAGAGTAGGATTTCTCTGACGGCCACGGGATTTGAGCAAGCAACCCTCCAGCCACAGGCGCAGATCCCTAGCCACAGAGCCACCGCACCGCCCCGGTAAAGATATGCTCTTCATTGTCCTATTGTATAATCTAATTCTGAGTTAACTCGTGTTTGATTAAATGATTAGGGACAACTACACTTAACAAGGGTGTTTTTTTTAAATATTTAAAACAGTTTTCAGCCTCTTTTTAAATTAAGTTACACCTCAGTTTTCGTTTTACCTTCTCTTGCAGTTATCAGACATAGGGGTCACCTCAACCGCCAAGCCTGAAAACATTGTGGTTGCTTGTGCTTTTAAGGTGTTCGCACATTTGACGAAACACTTAAAAATTTGAACGTGTCTCACAAATGAGAGGAGGCCATTTGGCATTGAAAATGCAATAAAATGTGTCAAACAGGTTTAATTACTGTACTTTGAACTTCCTGTAGGCCGAATGTGTGCTTTGAGGATATATGAAACACAAAACAGAGGACCGGAGGGGGGGGCTATGTGGAAGGCTGAGGACAGGAGACACTTGTTTGCACAAAAGAAAGATTGTGTGAGTCTGGAGCAAGCTACCCAGCCATGATTTTGAAGTCTATGCCATGAGCTTCTTTCAAATGACTGGATGAGATCTAACAAACAAACAGGCTAGGTGGGCCCATTAGCTGCCTCTTGTTTGTAGCTTTATGTTGTTATTTTTACAATGTTGAGAACTAACTCCTGTATTCCAGATGTGGTCTAACTGGGACATTGCAGTCTCAAGGGGATGTTTGTTGAAACAGTGTTCTTCCTGGATTAATGGCTGCCAGGTGTGTTTCCTCTTCATCAGGATCTTGACAGTGGGCAGCGACTGCATTGAGTACAACACAGTGCCTGAAGCATTTTCTCCACCCCTTTACTGGAGATTTTAGAATTCGGTTAAAATGAAAATTATTTCAAGACGATAATCCTTTGGTAATTGTTTTAGTTTCAGGCACAAAGTTTTCCCTCTCATCCTGAATTATAAAAAAGTGAAGAATTAGACAGGCAGCCTTCCTACGATTTTATCTGTTTTTGAACTGGTGCACCATTCCTGTCTTCCTTGAAAAATATTGGTAATGGTAACTCCTTCAGCAGCTGGAAAGAGGCAGAGATGTTCTACCTACTTCTGTGGCCTCTCACTTCATTCCTAGGTACTCCCTGTGAGCCCGAACATCCGAAAAACAAGCCCAGTGGATTCCAGGTGACTCTCACATGTCTATCTGAGCATATCACCCCAGTCCTTACACTCCTACAACCTGGGACATCTGTTGGGTAACTGGTTTCTAATAGGTTGCTTATGGCCAACCTGCAGTGTGTGTCTTTTGGTTTTGTGTTTTATGTATGCGCTTTAGGTATTGAGTGGACAGTGTTTAATGCTTTTAACCACTATAAAATAAAAAAGGAATTTAGTCATACTAGTGTCTGTTGCTCGTTTGTGCAGACACTGGTGTTCTGGGAGATAGAAAAAACAAGAATAAATGTTGTCTTAAGAGGTCACTGTAAAACACTGCAAAGCACATTACACTGCTTGCTTGGAAACAACATCTGTAGTACCACCCTACTAAACACTGGAACCCCCCAGGGCTGTGTACTCATCCCGCTCCTGTTCATGCTGATGAGTCAGGACTGCACAGCTAAGCATAGTGCAAATGACATCGTCAACTTTACTGATGACACAACAGTGGTGGGCCTCATTAGTAACAACGATGAGGCACCATTCAGAGCAGAGGTGGAGCAATTAGCGGATTGGTGCTTAAACAATAATCTGTCTCTGAATGTAGATAAGACAAAAGAGATGATAATTGACTTCAGGAGGGCCCATGCTGATCACTCCCCACTGCACATCAACAGCTCCCCTGTGGAGACAGCTAGAAGTACTAAGTTTCTTGGTGTGCATATCACAGATGACCTCACTTGGACCATCAACACCACCTCCCTAAACGTCTCCACTTCCTGCGGCGACTGAGAAGGGCCCCCCCCCCCCATACTATCCACATTCTATAGAGGCACCATCGAGAGCATCTTGACAAACTGTATCATTGTTTGGTTTGGGAATTGTAAGGTCTCAGACCGCAAGTCCCTGCAACGAATTGTCAATCCAGCAGGAAACATCATTGGAGCCTCCCTTCCGTCCATTCAGGACATCTACCACAAACGCTGAACATACAAAGCCTCCAGTATTGTGGACAATCCCTCCCACCCCTCCTGCAACCTCTTTGCGCTCCTACCATCTGGTAAAAGGTATCGCAGTATATGGTCCAGCTCCACCAGACTCCGTAACAGCTTTTTTCCACAGGCTGTCAGGCTCCTCATCAAGCTCCTGGTAACTTCTGCACCTATTCCAAATCTAGAAATGTAGTTATTTTTTTGCCTAATGTCAGCCATAATCTCTGATGTATTCTTTGCAAAATCCTGTAAAGTAAATTGCACTGTGCACATTGCACATGTACCCTGTTCTCTGTCAGCAATGTCTGTGTCTGTATTGTCTATAGCATTGTCTTGTCAGTGTATGTCTGTATTCTCGCTGTAGACCTGGGGAACGACATCTTGCTCCTCTGTATACTTGAATATGGCTGGAATGATAAATAAACTTGAACTTGAACTTATAATAGGCTGCTCCAGGCCAACAAACATACAGCTGTAAGATTTAAACACCCTAGTGTATTTTATCTTTACAGTACATGGAACTCACAACACCACAACCATAACAAAAGCTTAAGGTCTCCTTTGAGCTTCTACCTGAACTTCTTCAGAAAAGTCCCTCTCTACAGCATCATGGCCCAGCAGATACCCTGTTTACTGGCCACCAAAAAAAAACAACAAAGACCCTGCCAGACTTTCCTCAAAACTCTTCACATTTCACAAAATGTTGCCAAACTCACAGTCCCTTATCCTCGGCCAGTCCTCCTCCCTCCAGTGGACAACACAGTAACCACTTGGCTTCCTGCAATTAGTCAGGTGACAGGCCAGTAGCTCGTTCACACTATTAACTTGAACTTCTATCTAAAAAAAGATTATTTATGCCGGCAGAATTTTGATTTCCCCTCTCTTTTAAACAGGTCTCACTGCACTGTTTTCTCCTAGCAAAAGTACACACACATACTCAGGTAAGGTTTGCTTTGATTTATTTTTAATTTGGCTTCATCTGAAGCCTTGTCTATGAGTGTCTCAATTCTTTTTTCAAATGTAGAATAAATTGACCTTTGTCCTGGTTTCTATTGAATTTCATTTTAAGTTAATTTGCTTTCAGTAGGTATTTAACCCAAATACAGTACACAACATTGTATAAAAAGGTCACATCGTGAGTATCTCTTCCCCCATTTCAAGACCAAGAACAGTCTTTGGATGGGACCAAACTGAACATGAGTGCATCATGGGACAGTGAAACTGTTATACCGTAGACCTGGATTCCTGCTGCTCATTCTCTGAAAACATTTAGACTGTACTGTTTTGCTCATCTCCAGCATGCATCACTCATACCATGTCTTATCACAGTTTCCCTGTTATGCAGATGTAGGTTTATTTAAAATAGTTTCAATTTAGCAATGTCAAATCAAATTCCTGTACTGCAGTAATTACTGATCACATTTTCCTGTGCTGCACAGTGATGCGTAACTGAGGGATGACATATTGATCGGTGTTTAATCTGAGAACAGACCCTGGAGGGACAGTACAGGGCTGCCATGTCTTTGGGAGGTTAGAAGAAACCAGAGCAGCCAGAGAACAGTCACACAAACATAGACATTACATGCAGACTCCTCACAGAAGGTGCTCCAGAGCAGAATGGAACCCAGGACCCAAGAGTTGAGAGACACCAGTCATACCAACTGCATCATCCTGTCTGTTGCTGTGTGCTAAATTAGTCTACAGTTCTATTTTTATGTCTTGTATTATATTTATTTGATTATGGTGTGACTTTCAGAAAAGCTGTAATCAGTGGTGAATTAGCCAGACATAATGTTTTGGGTTATTCTTTTCTAGCATTACCTTAATTCTGACTGTGTATAAAGTGCAAGACTGACCTGATGCCAATTGTCCACAGTGGACTTGAATAGATCCAGCATTGTCCTCAGACTGTCCATCGGGCTACCCTGTGTCTTCATTCTGACCTCCATTGTCATTGCTGTGGAAATCGTCTCAAGACTGGACAGGTCAGCTGAACATCACTGTTGCAGATCGATAGAGATCTAAGCCATCCGTGTGAAGTAGTCAGCCTAGGAATCCACCTATACCTAAGTAATTCAGGTGTTTTCCAATCTGCAGTTTGCTGATTGTTTTTGCAAAGAAAGTACAAAATTAATTCTTTGTAAATGCTAAAGTTTTTTTAGATTATTTTCAAGAGTTTGAAATAAATCAATACTGTAGTCATGACCATGGCAATCAGGTAGAAGGGTGATATTGCTCATTACAGTAATTTATTATCTACGCTAAAAGCTCGGCACATTGTTGTCATAGTCTGCTCAGATTTCTAAGCATGTTATATCAGCTTTGCACTGAAGTCTGTCAAAAAACTCTAAACCTGTGTCAGTGTGTCTGGGACTCCCATCCTCAGATCTCTGGGTGTCAGTGCTCCTGTGTTCAATATTGGGCTCAGGGATGGAGAGAATCAGGGTTTATCAGCCCTGGTTGTAGTGTCTCAATGGGGTTGCAGTGAGACATTAGGAGCTGACTGTATCTGAAGCCTGTGTCTTCTCCCTGTAGCTGTAGAGGGAAGCGCTCTGCTGCACAGTCTGATGGCCAGAGAGAAGTTACTGGAGACACAGCCATGAAGACGGCAGAGGCTGCAGGTGGCAGGGCTTGAATATAATGGACCTCATCTTCAACCACTTGACCAGGGCTGTCCATTCCAGGTCCCGAAGTCTTCTTCTGTGTCTATCCATCCTTCATCCATTTTCTAATCGCTTTATCTGATACAGGGTCATGGGGGAACGAGATTCTATTCCAGCAAGCAACGGGCACAAGTCAGGATACACACTGGACGGGGCACCTGTCGATCACAGAGCAAGCAGACACACAGGTACACACTCACACCAGCAGGGCTGGCCCATACACTACTATTATCAGCTCCCACCCCAAACGTATTGTTTTGAACACTTAAATAAATGAATTATATAACTAGAAAACTTTGATTAAGCAAATTTAAAGAATGCATACTGTAATACATAACTTAAATACAAAAACAAGAAGTACCCATTTTCCAAAGATAATATATATTTTAACATAGAAAGTAATAAAGTGAAATTTGAACTAGCTTCTAGCAAAACACCTGAAGTAGTCTATGTGTCTAGCTAGAAAATGTGGCTTGTTTACCATTTGCTAGCTACAGTACATGGATCTGACAGACTCAAAACCAAATGAAATACAAGTGCATTATTACAGCGACTGGATTTGGTGAACCCCTGGTGTGAGATTGCTTATCCTGCTCTTCTTTATTGTGCTTTGTTTTCTCAGCACCCGATAGGTACGTCCTTTTGGAAGACAGTGTGTGTTTCTACCAGTTTGAACTACATGATTTCAATTTTATACCATTACAACATAGTTTGCAACGCAAGTAAAAGCTCACTTGTAATTATGCATTATTTGGTAGATGCAATGAAAGCAATGAAATTTCAACATCACAACATTTACTACTTTCTCAAATTAAACAGCATTTGGTGTAGCAGCAGCTAAAAAGTCTGCACTGATATTCTCATCTCACAGTGATGATGAAAGTCATTTACTACATCAACAGTGAGATAAACCACTATACTTACTTTCACAACTAATAATATTATATTTTAGAACTAAACAACTTTTATAGCCTAGATTAGCACCGCGGCAACAGAAACAGCCACTAGAGGGAACCTTCACTCACATTTGTCGATTAAAAAATATGTTTCATTGCACATTGAGGGGTCCCCTGGTAGCCTCGGGGCCCTCAGAAGTCTCCTAGTTTGCCTAAACCAAGGACCGGCCCTGCACACCACGGCCAGTTTTCCCAGGAGCCAACTAACCTACCAGTAGGACTGTGGGAGGAAACCGAAGCACCTGGAGGAAACTGAACCCAGGGCCACAGTGCTGTGAGGCAGCATGATAATCATTGCATTGCTGTGTCTCTTTTAACCTAATAATTAGCTCATTTATACTAATAAGAGCTGAGTTAGCGTGGTAGACTGCTAATAATGATTTAGATAATGATTAATTGTTTTTGATTGTTTTTGTGTTATGTTGATTAATTGATCTTAGTGAACTCAAGTGATTTTGTTGCATAAATATTCAGTCACCTGACCAGCTACAGGAAGCCAATTGGTCAGGTGACTCTTTAAAAGAGCAAGAAGATGAAGCTTCCAGTGTCAGTGTGTGTGAGTGGATGGCTGCTGTCTGAGGAGATGAGTCCAGAACCCCCTGTTTTTACCACTGACCAGAGGTAGGACTGACCAGTGTTTTTTAATAAAAAAAAATCTTTTATTTATAATGTGCCTTTCAAAACCCAAGGACAATAAAAGTAAATGTGGAGGTTAAATACAGGTTGTTACAAATTGACTATAGGCAATCAAATGTAAACATTGGTAAAAATGGTAAGTTTTAAGTTTAGATTTGAAGAGTGTTAAAGAAGGTCTCTCGTAAAGTCATCCCACAACTGCGGAGCACCAACGGAGGAGGCACGGTCACCAAAATCTGTGACTTTATCCTGGGAATGATGAGTAGAGGACTGGTGTCAACTGAATGGAGCTTACAGGATGGAGTGTAAACATGGAGGAGTCCAGAGATGTATGATGGAGCCAGGTTGTGCAGATATCAGCAACAAGATCTTGTATTGAGTACATGACTTTATAAGAAACTGATGTAGAGACTTAAGTACAGGAGTGATATGTTGCCAGGGTCTGGTGTGAGTAAATACTCTAGCTGTGGAGTTTTGAACACATTGCATCGTGTTGAGAAGAGCGTTTGGGAGCCCATACAGTAAACAGTTGGAGAAATCAAGCCGTGATGTTATAAACGTATGAATCAGGCAGTTGGCATCGGACATTGATAAAACCTGCCAAATGAGGGCAAGATCTCTAAGGTGAAAGAAAGATGTCTTGATTAATTTTTCACATTGCTCAAAAGGCAGGAGAGGATCGGGGTGACTCCAAGATTCCTGATGATGGCTGAAGTGTGAATGGGGAAGCCAACCACTGAAGTGAAACCCTTGAATTTATCCAGCTGAGATTTGCTGCCCACCAGTAAAATTCTGTTTTGTCACTATTTAGTTTCAGGGAATATGACGACAACCAGAGTTTGATGTCACATAAGCAAGGGATAAGTGATGGACAGGGGAGACCTAAAGGGGAATAGGTTTCAACATAAATCTCAGTATCCTCTGGATAGCAGTGTAACTGAAGACCATGTTTGCAGATAATTTCCCTGGGAGGTAGCATACAAATAATAAAAAGTAAAGGGCCCATGACTGAACCCTGAGGCACACCATGATTGACTGGGTCCATGGGGGATTTATGAGGACCAAAATGCTACCTACCAGTCAGATAAGAACAAAACCAGTTATAGACAGTACAACTGATAGACAAGAATGTCTGCAAGTGACTGAGCAACACTGCAACTGAGCAATGATTTACGTATCACAAACAGCACTAAAATTGAGGAGCAAAAGGATACTCATAGCCCAAACCCCCCCCTCCGAGTCAGAGGCAATAAGTAAATCATTCACAACCATGACAAGAGCAGTCTCAGTGTTACGATTTGAGTGGAAGCCAGACTGAAATGGCTCAAACAAGTCATTAACTGTCATATGTGCCTGTAAATGATGTGCAACTACACTTTCAATAGAAAGGTAAATTAGAGATTGGTATGTAGTTCATTATATCGGAGTCCAAGCCAGATTTCTTCAGTACAGGAGTGATAGATGCAGCTCTAAGGCAGACATGGGATGGGATCCAGGCAACAAGAAGCTGTTTTACAGGTGGTAATAATGTTTGTAAATTGATGGGAGTTAAGCTAAATTCAGAAAAATCTGGTACAATGGGAAGGTCAATGGAAAAACTAGGGCTCAAGTAGTTGAACTGTTGTCTGATTCATTGCAAGGCTGTAGCTTGATTCAGATAACTGCATTTGTATTAGTGTCAATCTTAGATTGAAAAATTGCAAATATTTAAGGCCGAGGTCAGGGTGGCAGAGAGAGCAGAGTTGTCAGGGAGTTTAATGAGCTTGTAGATGACAGTGTAGCGGCGAGGCTTAATAATAAGGCAGAATTAAGTGTTCTGAGCCTTCCCAAATGAGGCCTCATTTCTCTGTTCATCTCTGTGGTGCAGCCACAGAGAAACTATTCATGCA